GCCTGGGTGGGTCAGTCGTTAGGCGTCTGCCTTCGGCTCAGGTCATGATCCCGGGGTCCTGGGATCGAGTCCTGCATCGGGCTCCCTGCTCCGCGGGAAACCTGCTTCTCCCTCTCCCACTCCCCCTGCTTGGGTTCCTCTCGCTGTGTCTCTCTCTGTCAAAAAATAAATAAAATTAAAAAAAAAAAATGCAGACATTGTCAGACGTCCTCAAGGTAGGGGAGCAAAGTCCAGTGATTTGGACTGTTATTATGAGCGGAAGCTTAGCTGGTCCCACCCCTGTAGGCCTCATCTTAATGCTTTAGACTTCAATGGGCATGGATGTTTGCTAAAGCAAATCAGATTCAAGAGGCCCAGTTCTGAAGAAAAACTTCAGTCCCATTAAGCAAATTATCTCTTTCTGGCCTAAATCTCCATATCCTAAAGTTGCATGGTTACGAAATTTGCTGTGCAATCAGCGTCTTTAGTCTCATGAAAATTAAGTTGTCAACATAGAACACGTGACATCTGATTCTGTGTTTAAGAAAGGAGTGGTGGGGCGCCTGGGGGGCTCAGTTGGTTAAGCGTCTGCCTTTGGCTCAGGTCATGATCCCTCGGATCAAGCTCCGCTTCAGGCTCCCTGCTCAGTGGGGAGCCTGCCTCTCCCTCTTCCCCTGCCCCTCCCTTGTGCATGCTCTCTCTCAAAACAGAATCTTAAAAAAGAGTGGTGGGTGGCACCATGGAACGTTGGGCCTCATTTTATGATGTGGCTGAGTAATTTGTTGTTTCTTTGACGTCATTCCTTAGGGTCCAGAGAAGCTTTCTGGAACATTCCTTTTGGAACGAAACTGTGTATGCTTTTGAAGTATTCTGTGGCTGCCGAGAATTCTCATTAACTGGTATGGGGGGTTGGTATTTAATGGACTTTCCCCAGGATTGTAAGAGGTTCGAACATTTTTCCTTGTTCATCTTCTAAATTATTTCCCTTCTTACAGTTACGACCTTTGGCAGATTTTTATCTCCAGCAGTAAAGTGGAACAGAATTGCAACTACAGTTCCTGTAACAAGCCATGTCAGATACAACCCTACAAGTAAGATTGTAACTGTGGTCAGATTACTTCGTTGGAAAATAAAAATCAGAGAGTAAAAGCAACAGGAACCATGAAAGAAATCACCATTGGCCAAAACTGATGTTTGTCCGGATCAAGCAGAGTTTATACTAACAAACTAAAAAATCATGGAAAAAAATCTACCTCACAGACTCTAAAAATCCATCTAGGTAAAAACAGAAGTATTTACATTTTAAATTACCTTGATCTGAACTCCTCCAAGGAAATCTACATCATTAAATTCCCCACGGCCTTAAAATGGATGAGAGAGATTTTAAGGTGACCTGTTTCCTTGGTTAGCTGCATTATAGGAGAACTAGGTAATCCATTCTCAAGTAAGCCTTTCAAAATGGCCTGTTTGCATTCGGAGCTCTCCAGTTCTGCAGTCCTATAAAGTGACCTAACCACCAGTCTGCGGTTCGCTGGAAATAATGACCCAACTTCAACAAGGTCTCACTCTTAGAAGAGAATGCTGCCAGTCTTCTTGACGCCAGGAGAGCAGTGTGCTCAGACCTCTGTATCGTTCCCTGACCCCTCTCCCCCACCCCACCCTCAGCCGGAAGAAGGAAGCAAGGTCCCAGGCCATGATAACAAGCCTGTGCTGACACGGGCCCAATGCTTAGGATGTTTAGTAGCCTCTCAAGAAAAGAAGAGGTCATTGCACAAAAGCACACATTTTAGGTCATTGCTTTATTTCACTATTGTTTAACAACAAAGTTCATTCCTCTTCAGGTGGATCTTGAATTGTTCCTTGTGTTCTTTTCCTTGTCCTGAATAAAAAAGGTAATGAAGAAAAAGCCTGTACTTTTGGAGACCTAAAATCTTGCTTTGCTAATAAGCTTTTGACTGCAGTTTCGTGGTCCGGTATTTCCTGCTGGCATCTTGGTGGTCCCACGGAGCTTCCCACCCTCCAGTGAAGATGGCTGTCCACAACTACCACCGTTGAAACCAAAAGTAAGTGTTGAAAAATGCACCTTTTACAATAAAAAAGTAGAAACCAATTCAATTTCCTTTTTTTTTTTACGAATATAAAGTTTCTTGTAAATATGTACAGTCTTTTGAGCTAGTTCTATAGCAGGAAGCATTTCACAAATGAGACACACGATATACACTTTCCGGGCTCAAGAAGCCCATTTCTCATGGAGATCCTAAATGAAATGCCAAGACTGAAAGACCAGTTTTCAGTGACCTTTCCAAATACTTGTGGACCAAGAGACAAAAACTTCAGCAAACATTCAATCTGATCTGCCCTGGGGAAGGGAGGGGATGCAGTATGACCCCAAAGACTCCAAGCAACACATAAAACAACAGTGTGACACCTGCCAAGGCCATTAACAACATGAGGGAGGGACACAGGCGTTCCAAACAAGAAAGCACTTAGGTTAAGAGACTAGCAGGAAGGAGCTGGGATTTGGGCCAGGTTGCAATCTGGAAAGTGATCTGAACTGTGGACAACGTGGGTGGAAATGTGGTTATGTTCACCTGCGGTGGTGGAAACAGGTCTACCTTTCAGCCTACCTAGGATGTGCCTTGGTGGTTTGAGGCCTAAGAGTCATGGAGAATCTGAAGCAAGAGATGCCTTATGGGAGATTAAAGGCAGAAATAAGGCCGCTAGTTAGCTTGCCAACTGCAAAGCCTCTAGGTTGCTGCTTTACCAGTTGCCAGGAATTTTGCATTCTGGTAGCGGGTCGAGAGAGAACCCGTGTGCGCCGCGCGGCACCTAAGGGAGGACCTCCCAACCCCAGCAGAGGCGGAGAAGGGGCCGCGGCGCTCTCGAACTTCCTGGTCTTCGTCTAGCCCTAGGGAAAGGCTCCCCTGGGAAGTCACAGTTTCGTGGGGGTAGAACCGTGCTGGATTGTGTGTGAACACAGAGTCATCCACGAGGGAGTCGGCAGGGAAGCGGGAAAGTGTGAGTTGGTGGTTTGCTGAAATCCTTCTCCGGTCGTAAGGCTTGAGCGTTTGGTTGGTGGTTCAGTGCTACAGACTGCAGCTTGTTGGGGCCAGTGAGTTGGCAAGTGGTCAGAGGGTCTCGATTCAGCAGGAGCTGTGGTATGGTACTAGTACATCGGCAGAGCAACCCAAGGGGGGCAGCCAGGTCAGGGGCGGGGCGGGGGGGCAGCACATGCAGTGAACCGCCATGCAGAACTCCTGGACGGGACTCTTCCCATCCCAGGGTGGGGAACAACGCGCTGTCGTGGACAGGAAGCGGGCGCCCCCGGTCCCCTCGCGGACCCAGAGACTCCTTAATGCTGGGCTCCGAGCAAGTCTATTGCATGCTTTCCTGGCCAAAGCTATGTGGAAAGCAGGGACAGCAGGCTGGGGAGATGACGCTGCGGGGCAGGGAGGGAGAGCTCCTTGAGGTCCCATGGCCCCAAGTCACTGCCTCCAAGCTGAGGCCCGATGACCTCTGTACATTCTCAGCTGGTGGGAGGGGAAGTCGTCAAGGCCATAAAAGGCAATGAGAACAGTAAACATTTGGCTAAGATGTCACCCTGGGTAAAACAGGGCCATCTGCGAGGATGGACTGGGATAAGAATGAACCTACATGAGCTCAGGAGGTTGGCCAACTGGCGGGGACTCTTCCACAATACGTTTCCAGAGCAAAGACCTGATGGTGTGATCTAGCTAAAAATAACTACAACGGGAAATACATTGCTATTCAAATCTATTAAGAATTCTGTTGTCTTAAAAAAAAAAAAAAAAAAAAGGAAATCCAACCAACCCTAGGATCTTAAAGTAGCTATTAAATAGGATTCTAACCACGGTGTAGTTAGCACAGGTTGGTTTCCTTTGATGAACCGGTACAGGCTAGAGCTAGGTATAAAAGTTTATGAATGCTCTGAAAGAGTAACAAAGTGCACGGAGGATGACTGCAGGAAGGCGCTGACAGCTCCTAAGAGCCTCGGCCGCTGCATCGCCTGGATGCAGGGTGTCCACACTGAGGTGGCTCTGGGCCCAGCTGTGCCTTGGGGTAGCTGAGCAGATGGGTGCTGAGGGCCCCTTCAGCAGAGTTCCTTAGAGTGTTTGGTGTTTTCCTGCAGATTAAGATGAGAAGTTGGTTTTCCTGGCTGAGATTTACACTGAAGACTGGTCCCAGACCTAGGAGCAAAATAAGGGGAGTTTTAGCTGAGGGGGCCAGGAGTCCCTGGGCTCGCCCCACATAATCCCGGTAGGAAGCGTGCCACACTTGGTCTCCCTGCGGCCGTTAACGCCGAGTGCTGCCCAGGCCAGCAGCGGCGAGGAGAGCCAAGCCGCTGAGCTCGGGGTTCGTCAGGCAATGTAATTCACGGAAAATTCTCCAAAGCTATGGATGGATCTCTGTTACACATACACACACACTTGTCCCCGTTTTATCGGTAAATCAGAGGGGCTGAGAAGAAACACTGACTGGCTTTTCCTCCTCTCTTTATTGGCAGGGGTCCCAACAGTGACCTGCAGGTGGCATTAGGAGAATGTGATCTAGAAAACCAGCCCCCCTCCTGGCCCCCTGGGACAGAAAGGTGGCTGTGCTGTCCAGAGGGGGCCCCTGGAACTGGCTAGCCTGCCGAGGAGGCACCAAGCACTCAGACCCTCCCCCTGCTCATAGGGGCCCCCTTGTCTTCAAGACCTCCCACCATCTCTTCATTCACTAACTTGAAAAATTACATAGATAACACAAGCATACGATTTAGAGATTTCAAAAGGCTCCAAGTTCTAGAAGGCAACCAGTGTTCCCAGTTTCTGTGTAGCCCTCCAAAAAAAGTTCTTGGTGCACGTGTGTATCTGTATATGCACTTGAAAAAAATAAGGCGTAAACATTTTGTGTAGTATGCTATCATTTGTGTTTAAGAAGGGAGGATACGCATACATACTTCCTTATATGCCCAGAATATCTCTAGAAACTGCTAACACTGGTTGCCTCTGGGGAAGGGAATGATCTACCCTAGGGTAGCTATTACATTTTGAGGTACACATGTACACATCATCCATCTGCTTAGAAAGCCCTCTTAAATATGTTTTCTTCCTAAACTTGCTATATGTCCTGAAAAATCTGATAAAAAACCCGCCCCCCCCCTTTTTTTTTTTCCTCCAACAGTGGCCATGAAGGGCCCTCAGCTCCCCAGGTCACTCCTCCGGCCTCAGGATGTGCCTGACCTTGTTGACCTGGGACAGTGGGGTCCTCACGGCTCCCACAGGCAGCCGGCCCCGGCTGCTGTCTTCAAACAGCCTCCCAGGGGAGCGTTCCCTCCGCGTGCTGAGCATCCGGCCTGGGGACTTCTCCCGCTCCAGGGGGCGGCCAGGAGACTTGTCCCTGCGCAGCTCCGTCCGCCCCTCCCGGTAGCGGTGCGGTGTGCTTGGCTCTCGCGGGTGGCTGGCGCCTTCCGGTGGCGCCGGGCTAGAGGCCACACGCTTGGTGATGTGCTCGTTGTAAGTTGGCGGGCCTCGCTTATTGGGGCTGCGGGCAACAGGAAAGGGAGATGCGGAGCTGAGAAGTCATAACCCCAAAGGGGCATCTTCCTCCTCTGAGAAACACCCATGCCCCAGTCTTTAGTAGAAAAGATCCCACCTGGAGTTCTTCAGGCTTTTTGTTTTCTTTAGGTAGTGAGGACAGGGAAAGAAAGATGACAAAGCCCCAAAAAACAAGCTTCCTGCTCTCAGTGCAGGTTTTCACTGAGCACCTACTGTGTGCCCAACCCTGTGCTAAGCTCTTTATGTGCTTCGACTCATTAAATCACCATAACAGCTCCACAAGCTAGGAACAAGCATGCCCCTCACCGTTCAGACAAGAACCTGGAGCTGCAGAGCTGGGACTCTGACACAGGTCAGTTTGACATCCTAATCCCCACCCTGTATCCTACTGACCTAGTATTTTGCAGAGCCTAGAAGGCACAGAAGGAAGTCTTCATTTAGGGGTTGAGACTGCTACCAGGCCCTTGATACAAGGGAGCAATTTTGAGAAAGCCTGTGCTCATCACTGTCAGCTGCCATCTCTGCCCCCCCTCCTCGGCCTGGTGCTCAGTCACCTCTCCTTCCAGGTGGCTTTCCAAGCCTCTTTGGCACCTAATACTGATGTGAGAGGTGTGGGGATCAGGCCTGACAGAATTAGAAAACTGAGCAGGACAAATAAAAACAGTACAGTTGGCTCAAAACACGTCCCTGGCCCCAAAGGTTTATAGTAATAACCAAACAACTGAAAACACTGGGGCCTTTTTGTATGGCCCATCCAACCCTCCATCCAGCTCTGGCCTGGATATTTCAAATGAAGATTTCAGCAGATACAGCCCTAACCATCTCTCTGAAGAAGTGAGATCCAGAAACAGAACTGAGAGTCAGTTCCTTCCCACTCCAATGAGCAGAAAAAGTACTCAATCCTCATCATCTCAGCACAATTAGAGCTAGGAAAAGGGAACCTACTTAAAATGGGCACATTTTATAGAGAATATTACTTGGAGAACATATTTTGATTGACTGGGGCTTTATCTCAGAAAATAGAAGTAGAAATCAAGAAAGTAAATTTATCCTCATTATTTTTAAAATCTAAATTACAATTGGAATTATGTGCCGATTCTAAGAATGAGCCAAGTATGAATCACATACTGATTTAACTTGCTCTAATTTTCGCAACAAAATTGTATGCTAATATGCTCAATGACATACGTTCTGTCAGTGTTGGACTTCTGCAGTAAAGTCAAAGTCATTTCTTAAAAAATGAGAGTGTCATTGATTTTCCCAGAGGCCTATCTTAATCCTTGATATTTAAATCCTTCTCTTTGAAAGGGGCCAAATTTGTTTTTTTTTTTTTTCAGTTATTGATCTAACTGCCAGAATTGCTTTTGTCAATGCCCATAATTAAAAACAAGAAAAACAGGGCGCCTGGGTGGCTCAGTTAGTTAAGCGACTGCCTTCGGCTCAGGTCATGATCCTGGAGTCCCGGGATCGAGTCCCACATTGGGCTCCCTGCTGACCAGGGAGTCTGCTTCTCCCTCTGAACCTCTTCCCTCTCATGCTCTCTCTCATTCTCTCTCTCTCAAATAAAATCTTAAAAAAAAAATAAAAACAAGAAAAACAAAGACATCTACTGGGGGAGGAGAGACTCTAGAGCAAGCTTGAGGGCCAAATCCAGACAGATGACCTTATAAATAAAGTTTTATTGGAACACAGCCATGCCCATCTGGTTAGGCACTGTCTATAGCTGCTTTCACACAACAATAGTTGAATAATTGAGACAGACCATATGGACCACAAAGCCAAAAATATTTACTATCTGAACCTTTACAGAAAAAGTTTGCTGATTCCTGCACTACAGTGAAACAGAAAGGTGAGTAGAGATAATTTGATAAGTGATCAGTTCATTGTGAAGATTTTCATGTGATTCTCTGGTTTCCCTGTGCAACTCTGTGAAGATTCCAGACAACATGCCCAGAAAGCCAGAACCCCCCTGTGCTACATGTCCAGTGGAAAAAATTTAAGGTAACTCAGATTTCAACATCTTGAAATAAAGTTTTATATTCCTCTCTAGTCATGTGGCTTTAAGATATGGAAGACAAAAATAAATTCCAAGTAGGAGAATTATATTAAGCCTATTTGTAATGGAAGGGAAATTATAAAATGTGTCCACAGGGGCCCATCATAAAGCAAGAAGGATGGCTCCAAGAATACCATTTGGTCTTAGATTAATGGAATGAAAGAAAATACCCATCATTCTAGGCCAAGGGGGCAATCTTCCATCTCTGTGTCCATTAATGACCAATGATCTCCCATGCCAATTTTATGGGTTTTTTTGTTTGTTTGCAAAGAGTTACATTTCCTCAGGCTCCCTGCTCAGCAGGGAGTCTGTTTCTCCCTCTGACCCTCTTCCCTCTCGTGCTCTCTCTCTCTCATTCTCTCCCTCTCTCTCTCTCTCTCTCTCAAATAAATAAATAAATAAATAAAATCATTAAAAAAAAAAGTTACATTTCCTGCTCTGCTAAACAGACCAGGTCAGTGAGGCCTTGCGGTGAATCACACTCAACCAAACTGGCCTTCTACATTCTGACCTGCCAAAGCAGCCTGCATAAAAAAGACCATTTTATAAGCCAAGAGACAAGCAAAGACTAACTGCGATTTTCCAGACATGCCTGGCCACAGCAGGAAAGCAACAGCATTGTCTTTGCCTCTCCTTCACAGGAACTGGAACTCCTTTCAACCAGAGAATAAGCAACTTCTTACAGAGATGCTATATAGTCTCAAAAGGAAGGTGCCTGCCATCTAATTAGTAAGGCAGTAGAGAAAAAAAATCTAATTATAGTACTTTGATTTGTTCTTGGCATGACTTGGGAACTACTTAAAATCTGGACATTTTCAGGAGAGTCCTTTGAGCAGTTACTCTTGAGGCAGGGTCAAGCCAAAAGAGTTAGGAACTGCTGGTTATTTACCACTTCTGGTTTTCTAGCAAGTGCCCGGGATTAAAATTACACTGACCAAACATTTAGACTAACCTCTTGTATTTCAACAGAAGAAAGACTATTCATTACGATGTAGTCTCAAAATGTTAGATTTATGATGTTCTTTTCCAAGACCTAAGCACTTTTTAAATATTAGAGGTAGTTCCTTCACCAAATTGAGAGTCCCTTGAGAATAGAAACATGTCTTCATCAGTGTATCCCCAGCCCCAGATACCCTGTCTAGCACACGGTAGGGGATCCGTATAACTCTTTACAGGGTAGACACAGCAGGGCAGAAAATTTCAATCCTAGGTCAGTTAAATATTCCCCTGGGTTAAATAATCTCAGAACTACTTTGTAGACCAAGAACTTAAAGTTACACCTCTCAAACCTACCCATCAACCTGGATCTGGCTCAAAGACTTCTATGTCAAGACAAGGTCAGTCCCACTTCCCACGCACTGCTGGTAGGATTACAAATGGATATAGCCTTCAGGGAGGAATACTCAGCAACATCTATCAAAATTACAAATGGACATCTGGTGTCACCCAACAATTTTTTTCCTAGGGATTTATCCTACAGATGGATTCCTAAGCATGCAAAATGACATAAGCACAAAGTCATTTAATTTATTACAGCAACAGTCTGTGAACCACCGAAACATCCAGATAAAGGAGCAGTTAAATAAATTAAGGTCACACGAAGGCATAAATGCTATGTAGGCATAAAAAACAATGAAGAAATACTTCTGATACTGACATGGAGCAACCTCCAAGATACATTAAAGTACAGAAGAATGTGCACAGTGTGCTATCACCTGTATTAGAAAGGGGAGGAACACTTCCAGAATGGTACAGTAAGGACTGCTGAAAACCCGTTCCTCCATAAAAGCAACCAGAACACTGGCAACAACTGTCTAAATCAACTTTTCAGAACTCTGGAAATTAACCAAAGACTTGCAACAACTCAAAGAGCAAGAGCATTTATGTAAAAAATAGCTGAATCTCCGTAAGAACAACAAGCTTTGTGACATGTTAATGTGACCTTTTCCCACACTTTTCTCCCCAGATCTGCAGCAGTTTTGAAACCAACAGCCAGGTAACCACAGCAGCACTGGAGGGAGATCAGGATTGAAGCCCCAGCCCAGCAAACAGTCCCCATCCGACCTGTCTGGCTACTCCTCTGGCTACCATTTTCCAGGCTTTTTAGCTGACCTGACACAGGGTTTGCTCATGAGAAAAGCCCTATTCCCAGATATGTATCAAAAACAATCAGCAGCCAGTGTTTAACCTGGCAAATACCTGAGGCAGTGATACCAGTTGGGGAAGAGGCTGGCCAAAACACTCAGAAGGCAATCTCGGAATAAGATGTCTACAGGGCATTTTGAAATGGTCCCACATATTTGTAGGAATCTAGAAGGCCACGCACATGGGCAAGGCTCTGCAAATGCCCAGGAAAAATCTGAGAAAGCCTCAGTCTCTCAACTCTGGCTGACTTTGAGCATTGAAGGTATGCCCAACACACACACACACACACAACCCCTCAGCAAAGGGTGGGAGACTTCCTGGTTCAATGCATTGAAGGAAATCTCTGCCCAATCATTAGCAGATGACTAACTTAACCAAGCAGAAACCTGAATGGCCACACAAAGCAAAGAATACAGACTTTACAGATTTAGTCCCAGAGAGTCACTCAATAAACTGCAACAACAAACGCGGGGGGGGGGGTCTGATTTCCAGAGTTGCCACATTATATTATTTGAAATGTTCAGTCTCCCAACAAAAAATTAGAAGACATGCAAAGAAAGAGGAAAGCATGGCCCATACGGAAGGCCTTATTTCTTCTGCGAAATCTTCTTTGGCCCCCATGTCCAGGCTGGGAACCCTCCTCTGGGTTCTCAAGGTGTCTTAAACTACCCCAGTTTGAGCCCCATCCTCCTAGGCTGTGCTGTAATTGCCTGATTGCTCATGTCTCTCGCCCACTGGGCTCTACGAGGGAGGGACTGCATCTGGCTTATGCGGCGCTATACCTCCCATAGCAAGCCCAACTAGCAAGGCAGAGTATCTGCTAAAGCAACAAATGCATAATTCGTGATCCATTCTAGTGCCACTGAGAATACCCAACAGAGAAAGACCAGACATTTCCTTCCACCTTTTCCAAGGGGGCATTTAAAAATTCTCCCGATACTTGACAACGATAGAGTCACTTTCATGCTGTATCTCAAAGAAAGGAGTGGTTTGAGCTTGAGGATTGGGGAAACCTTTGACCAGCTTAGCGAAATTTCCTTCTACCTTACAGAAAAGCACTCTGTGTCCTACAATGAAGAAGAGGAGAAGTACGGTACCTGCGGGAGGTGGGGGGGCCCCGGTGGTGGTCAGTGCCAGACTCCTTCACGAGGTTTCCTTTGCAGCAAATGACCCGTAATTTATCCTGGTATGAGGACGCCAGGTAAATCGCTCCTGAGGAAATTGCAGGGCCCAAGTAGCGTGGGTTCGGGATTTCCAAATACGCTCGGGCAGGAGTCCTGAGGAGTTCCAGGTAAGAGTTTACATTCAGGTTACCTCCATTGCTAGGCGGGATGGGAAGACACAGACACTCGGCCCCAACCCCCGGCCCCAACAGCTGAACTTTTCAAAGCCTGAAAGGGCAATGCTTACCCCAGAGAGGAGCGTGCCTGGATCTCAATGACTTCGAGTGAGTTGAAGTGGGTCACAAACAGATAGGGTTCTCTGTAGGCTGCATGGCCACCACAGAAGAAGAGCATGGAGCAAGGGTTAAAAGAGGAAATCAAAACCAGGCTGCAGTGCCACCTTGGAGCCAGCAACCCCACCTAAAATAATTTAGCCTACACATACATCATGTGCCAACATAATGAGGCGTGTTCAAGTTTACACACTGCCATGTTGTCAGAGCAGAAGATGGGAACCAAATCAAGGGTACGTTATAGGGGGTCAGGTAAATATATTATGGTTCAACTGTGGGATTCTGCACAGCTATAAAAATGCATGAAGCTATGTACGCATGCATAAAAAACCCTGAGGTGTGTTTGACTTAGTGTGCAAATTAAGATTCAGAATAATGTGTAAAGTGTGGCACCACACTGATTAAAAAAAAAAGTGTGTGTGTTGGGGGGAGGATAAGAATATATTTTCGAGGCGCCTGGGTGGCTCAGTCGTTAAGCGTCTGCCTTCCGCTCAGGTCACAATCCCGGGGTCCTGGGATCGAGCCCCACATCGGGCTCTGTTCTGCAGGAAGCCTACTTCTCCCTCTCCCACTTCCCCCTACTTGTGTTCCCTCTCTTGCTGTGTCTCTCTCTGTCAAATAAATAAATAAAATCTTAAAAAAAAAAAAAAGAATATATTTTCTTACGCATCTGTATTTGCACAAAGCACTGAAAGGATAAGAAACAGGAGTTTCCCCCCCATCTTGGGGGAGTGGAGGTGGAGAATTGGGGAGAGAGGTTATATGGGAGAGACTTTTCATTGTATACCTTTTTAAACTGTTTAATTCTGTACATTTTCAAAAAAAAATTAAAGACTGAGTTCAAGGATAATTAAATATTTCTAATCTTAATACTATATGTCTATATCATAGCATCAGTGAAACTCTAGGACACGATGGGAGCCTTTTCTGTCTTAAAAGGAAAAAGAAATTTCACTGTTATCCATTGTGGTAAACCAAGACTTTGGTTTTGGACAATGAGTCATGCCTCCCGGTACTCAGGGCCCTGGTGGAGCCTCCTTGCCTTGAATCTAGGCTGACCCCGTGGCTGCTTTAACCAGTAGAATGTGGTGGAAGCAACAAAGGCCAGCCAGCTTCTACTTTCGCACTCCTGGAAGAGGCCCATGTGGAGAGGAACTGAGGTCTCCAGCCTCCAGCCTCCAGCCTCCAGCCCCCAGCCCCGGCTGAGTTCCCACCAATTATACCAATTGGCCGCCATTTTGTGAGGCCATTTTGGACTTTCTAGTTATCCCAGTGCCCCCACTGGTACCACATGAAGCAGAATTGTCCAGTCAAGCCTCAGCATCTTGGGCAATAATAAGTTGTTGTCTTGTCCATATGCAGCAAAAGAGAAACCAAATAGCCTTGACGGGTATTTTAGCCTTAACAGTGTTTCAGAACATTCACACCAATATGTGTATACATATTTGTACATGTGTGTGTGTTCATGTATATGGGTGTTTATGTGTGACCCAGCAGCTCCACTTTTAGGGCTTATGAGCAGCAGATACTACTTGACAAGTGTGCAGAGATTAGTGCAAGATGTTCAAGAATGAGCATGACCTACGTGCTCTGCCTAATTAGAACTGGTTAAATGGACAGGTGTTCAGCTATGCCATGGAGTACTCTGCAGCCTTTGAAATGATTTAAATAAATTCACAGGGAATGCTCTCCTTTCTTCATGAGAACCTAACAAATATTTCACAAGGCTGGTGGATCTGGCATATGCAGTTCTTCATCAAGCATCAGAATCTTTGCCCTGAACACTTCAGGGGACTACGACCTACGGCACTTGGTGTCTAATGTGATCCACAGGCATAGCGCATAAACCAAAAAGGATTCCACCTGCAATTCTTTCCTAGGACTCCAGCTGCTGGCAGAATAGAGCCCTCCAGACCTTGCTTCACTTACCAAAGGCCAAAGGTAAGCGACTCCACTTGAGATCGTCTGTGCGGCTACGTCTGCCGTAAGAATCCACGAACACCCCAAATTCTGCAAGGAGTTGGAGCCGGGAGGCGTTGGCACAGTCAGAGGCAACAGAATCAATGACACCACACACTTTGCCAGAAGAACAAGGGATTGAGCCCAGGGGACCACCAGCCATATTTAACTGGGTCGTTAAGACCCGAGGACCTTTGCTGAGCCACATCTCTTAGAGATGTGTTAAAGGAAAGTGGGGGAGACAGGAAAGAAGGAGCAAAGGGAGGAGGAAGAGACGGGAGACATGGAGGAAGGGAAAGGGAAGAAACAGAGACCCAGACACAGGGAGGGAGAGACAGGAGGAGCCAGAGATTTGCCGTGGGGGAGGGGAAGGGAAAGGAAGAATAAAAAAGAATGAAGAGAAACATCAAAAGAAAACCCAAGAAAGAAGGAACGGAACAGAGAGAAAGGAAAGGGAGAGAGAGAAGCAAGGGGCGGAGAAGGAAAGAAGTGGTTGCTCTCAGGACAGAATATGATGGTGCCGGCTGGGGCAAGAGCCCTGGTGGGAGTCTGGGGCTCCCAGCGCCCACAAGCCCTCAGGACAGTGGCCGGCAGGGAGCCCCGACTCACCGTGGAAGCAGAGCAGGTATTCCTCCCGCTGCCCTGCACCGTTCACCTGCACGATCGAGACAGGGAAACTGTTGGAAGAGGAGGCAAACACAGCAGGCGCCAAGGAATGGTCATTCTTATCCAGGAATTCTGTAAAGGCAGGTGGGAAGCGGGGCGTCAGGGAGGAGCCAGAACTGGCGGTGAGGCCAGAGCAGAGATTGGCTGGGGGGCGGGGGGAAGTGCGGGCGGACTAGGACCCTACCCTCAAGCGTGTACTGCTTCATGTCAATTTCGTAGAATTTATTGGTTCCGATGAGGATACTGTAATTGGTGAAGTGGATGCAGCTGCAGGGCTCTGAGGTCTCTATCTCCTGAGACAGAGGGTAGAAGAAAACAATGTGAGTGAACACAGGGCAGCCCCATTTCCACTGCTATTCCGTTTCCCCCTCAGGCATCTCACCGAGCCTTGGAGACGGTAGTCTCTGGACTTGTTCACGTTCTCGGCCACACAAAGCACACACACTCAATCCTTTCACGTCCCCCATGAAGACTAATAATTCCTTTGCTACCTCTGCGAACGTTCTTTGCAACCCAGACCAAGAATATCAAATGGCAGCCCAAAAAAGAGTCAGAAACACCATTTCAATGGAAAGGTTGCATTCAAAGACAGATCTTTAAAAATAATACATTCTTATCTGAGGAAAAAGACTGGAAAACACAGGGCTGGTTAGAGGGAGTGGTTTTAGCTTCCTTCTTTTTGTGAGCTAAGTTTCTAACACGAACCTCTATTACCTATATAATTATTCTCATCACCGTTGTTGTCATCTCCTCCCTTCCCCTCCCCGACGGCAAATCTCTGGGTCCTCCTGTCTCTCTATCGGTGATCAGCTTTCTAATTACTTCCACTTGTTTTCAGGCCCATCCTAATATTTTCAAAAACCTAGGCATGCTTATTCAAAATGGTGGCCAAGAATAATAAAGAAGCAATGATTTCTGAGGCTTTTCCTAAAGCTAACAGTTCAAAATCTAATCTGCACTATCACCACCGGATATTTACTGAGCACCTGGTAAGTACGAGGAACAGTTAGGGAGCATGACACAGGGAAAGCAGGGAAAAATCAAACTTCAGAGTTTTGGTCTCAACTTTGTAACAGGATCTCAGCTCAACGGCCTCAATGGCCTCACCTGAAAATTGGGGATTACCACCCGTGCATTTCAGGACTGTTGTGAAAAGTGTTTGTAAAATAGTCAGCTGGGTCTTTGGTACCAGTAGGTGCTCAATACAATAAAACAAACGAACAGCCCACCCAGGATTAAACTGTTTCCCTAACACATAATGACCCTTATATATTCACCCCGCATTTCACTTGAGACTAATCGGGAAGGCACCTGAAATAAATTAGGCTTACAACAGGTGAACTTTTCCTAATCTAGGGACAAAGGCCAGCCTCTGGAAGGGAGGCGAATGATCTAATGTGCACCTTGTCCACACTGCAATCACCATCACCACCACTCTGCTCCACAGAGAATCAGCTCCCTAATTACACCTAGGAACACAGCACTGGCTTTTCCAAAAGTTATTAATGGAACCGTCTAGGATCCGACAAAGATTCTGTTAAGTGTCGCCAGGGACTGCTAGCTTCTCAGAGAGATCTCCTTCCTTTTTTATGCTAATTTAAAAGTGTCTCTTCCATCAGCCTGCTTCCTTTCCCCTTAACAAAGAGTTGAATTCACTGGGCTGGCTGGAGAGGCAGCTCACAGGCAGGAGAAAGAAAGTGAGAAGGAAAACTGCAGCTACTCAGGGCTCTGGAGCTTTCTCCAGTAAGGAAGGGTGTAATCTGCTTGTCTGTCTCTCTCTCTCTCTGGAGGTCACCCAGGCTGAAGGGACCGGGCACACACTGGTCCCTGAGACAGCACACTTTCCACACTAAGTGGGGGAACAGCAGGACAGGCGAGGCCCAGGACTTACTTTCCGAATGCAGTACTTGCTGAGGTTTTCGTTGTAGCGGAGAATGACAACTTTGCTGGGCATGGCTGCACAGATGCAGAGCCCGTTCTCAATCTGAAAAGCAATCAGGGAAACAGAGAGAAAGAAAGAGAGGGTCACTGGTGTGTATGCTGGCTCCATAGCAAAACTAGGAACGTAACACCAATTCAGAGCAGAGTTTCTCCACTTCAGTACTACTGACACCAGACCAGAAAATTCTCTGTGGCGAGAGGCTTTTCTGTGCATTGAAGCAGCATGTTTAGCAGCAACCCTGGGCTCTACCCTCTAGATAACAATGGCACAACCACCAGTTGTGAAGGCCAAAAACGTCTCCAGACACTGCCCAGTGTTCTGCCCTTGGATAAGAACCACTGATTTAACAAAGACCTGGCAAAGGCCCCTGGAAATCACCCAACACGACACACATTTGGTGTGTATGCACCTTCTGCTAGAGACAGGGTCTTTTGACGATCTTACCCTGAGGGAGAGGGAGGCAGTAGAAATTACCTCAAGAATTTGGAGACTGTGGTTCAAAGAGAAAAGTTCTTAGCTAAGATCTGTGTACGTGGAGTTCTCTTTTTCTGGAACAGCTAAATCACTCTTACTTCGCCTTCCAATATCAGGTCTTTGTCATTTCACCAAGGGCGAAAAGAAGCTTCTCAAATCAGTACTGACATGAAGGTCAGCAGTTGCAGGGGGAGGGGTGGAATGAGATGGGATGGGAGAGGGAAGGAATACAAAGGAAAATGGAAGTGTTAGTAATGTTCTAGCTCTTGGGGTGGGTAGTGAGTTTGGAATGTTTATATTATTAGATGTTATCATTTTATAATGTACCTATTTTTTTAGTAGTTCCAACACTGTAAAATGCCCATTTCTAGGTAACTCATCATTCACAGAAGAAATCATAAGAAATTTTAAATTTTAAAATACGTGAAATGATAAAAACTTACAGGATGTGACTAAAATTGTAGTTAGAGGGAAAATGTATGGCCTTAAAAAATATCTTAAAAAAAAAAAAAAGACCTGAAAATTAATTAACTAAACAAGAGATTAGAAAGAGAACAACGGAAGAAAGCCAGAGAAAACTGAAGGAAGGAAAAACAAAGATTAAGGAAAAAGCAAAAATCAATGATAAATAAGATAATGCTCTCATAGCAAGAATCAGTACAGCCCAAAGCTGCTCCTTTATAAAGATTAGCAAAATCGGTATAATGCTGATGAAATTAAGATGAATGAGAGACCCAGCACAAGTAATATTAGGGATAAAAAAAAAATGCAACGGCTACAAGAGAATATACAACAAAGAACAAAAAGCAGAAAAAAGGAGAGGAAAAAAATGTTCTTTTTAAAAAGAAGAATTAAGGGCGCCTGGGTGGCTCAGTTGGTTAAGCGACTGCCTTCGGCTCAGGTCATGATCCTGGAGTCCCGGGATCGAGTCCCACATCGGGCTCCCTGCTCGGCGGGGAGTCTGCTTCTCCCTCTGACCCTCTTCCCTCTCGTGCTCTCTGTCTCTCATTCTCTCTTTAATAAATAAATAAAATCTTTAAAAAAATAAAAAGAAGAATTAATAAAACAGAAAAGGTACAGCGTTCCTTGCTGGGTCCCTATCGGGAAATCCTGGGTCCTTCCAGCAACGTCCTTTATCAGTCCCTCGAGATTCACCTCCTCCGAGAAATCTTCGCAAATTCTAGGCCAGCCACCCTCTTCCTTCATATTCTATCCTCTTTTTATTGCTGCCAGTTAATCCCAACCATTGTATAAGTGACTAAGACAAGAATCCCACCAGCCCCATGGCCCTAGGGTTTCAGAAACCAAAGTCCTCAAGAACAGTGGCCACGGGCAACGACGTGGACGGAACTGGAGGGTGTTATGCTGAGTGAAAGAAGTCAGTCAGAGAAAGACATGTATCATATGACCTCACTGATATGAGGAATTCTTAATCTCAGGAAACAAACGGAGGGTTGCTGGAGTGGTGGGGGGTGGGAGGGATGGGGTGGCTGGGTGATAGACATCGCGGAGGGTATGTGCTATGGTGAGCGCTGTGAATTGTGCAAGACTGTTGAATCACAGACCTGTACCTCTGAAGCACATAATACAATATATGTTAAGAAAAAAAAGAAGAAGAAGAAGAAGATAGCAGGAGGGGAAGAATGAAGGGGAGTAAGTCGGAGGGGGAGACGAACCATGAGAGACGATGGACTCTGAAAAACAAACTGAGGGTTCTAGAGGGGAGGGGGGTGGGGGGATGGGTTGGCCTGGTGATGGGTATTAAAGAGGCACATTCTGCGTGGAGCACTGGGTGTTATGCACAAACAATGAATCATGGAACACTGCATCAAGAACTAATGATGTAATGTATGGTGATTAACATAACAATAAAAAATTTAAAGGGGAAAAAAAAAAAGAACAGTGGCCACGGCCAAGGTCAAGCCCCCACCTCAGAAGGTTCCTGTGGCCCACTGCACCCCTCCCCTGTTGGTCCTCCATCCCTCAGCACAGACCCCTCTGAAGGCTCGGTCAAGTACATAGGATGTGCTAGGTAAACGTTGACTGAGCGACTAAATGCCAAATACCCAGTGAGCAGTCTTCTGAGAAGGGAAAGGCAGTGGTTTACAATGGGAGAACTCCAGTAGCCTCAGGGAGTCTACAAATGCTTGATTCAGATTTTACTAGTTATATATGTTCATGTGTATGCACCCACAAATATTCTTAATTTTTTTAATAAAAAAAATTTCCTTAAAGAAGCAGGCAAGCAAATGTATTTATGTGCCAAAATCAATATGCTATTAGCTACCAAAGAATTAACTTATCAGGAACTGACTTTATGTTATATAAACGTCATAAATCAGAATTTGCAAGTTTTTAGTAATAAAACATTTTGTCATTGAGTTCGGACATGGGGTTCCATGTTAGATTAAAAAAAAAAAAAAAGACTAGGGGTGCCTGGGTGGCTCAGTCAGTTGAGCAGCCCACTCTTGATCTCAGCTTAGGTCTTGGTCTCAGAGGTCGTGAGTTCAAGCCCCATGCTGGGCTCCATGCTGGGTGTGGAGCCTTTTTTAAAAAAAAAATGAAAATAAAAAGGACTCCATCATACATACACACACACACGCACACACTCACATGTACACCCACACACACTCTTTAAATTTATTTAATTTTATTTTTTTAAAGATTTTTTTATTTGTTTATCCGAGAGAGAGAGAGAGATCACAAGCAAGGGGGAGGGGCAGAGGGAGAAGCAGACTCCCCGTGGAGCAGGGAGCCCAAAGCGGGGCTCGATCCCAGGACCCTGGGATCATGACCTGAGCCCAAGGCAGACGCCCAACTGACTGAGCCACCCGGGCGCCCCCACACACTTTGTTTTAAACTATGGATCATCCTTTTAGTTTTGTTAATTTTATCCTCATTTTTCTCTCTGACGTTTCCTTTGGACTCAAAGCCTGTGCAAATTTCATGGCTACACAAATTGTTTCGTGTGCCTAAAGGAAGCAATAGAAATCTAACCCAATGAGAGGACAGTTTTCAAGGTCAAATCAATGAGCCCCGTGGAAAGGGGGGCAGAGCTGATTTCCAGAACACTCGGCCCGCCGAGGCCCTGAGGAGAGCTTACCTTGCCGGCGGCAAACAAGTGGCAGCCCTTCACGGCTTCGAAAACGTTGGGGGAGATGTCGGGCTGGGCGGGAAGGTGAGCTTGCGCGAGGGACTGCTTCACTTTCTTCACGTCAACAAGGCACAGAGCCCGCTCTTCTCCTGAAGGAGCAGGAAGAGCCTCAGGTCAGTGTGAGGCAGGGAAGCAGAGACGCGGGAAGGCAGTTCTACTTCTCCTCACGAGGAGCCAGGCGGGGCCGCGCAGATGAACAGTTTTCCACGGAGTCCTGTCTACACGGCTCCGGTCCAAGTTTTAGAACTACAGTGAAAAACACCTGGCTTCTAGGTCGAGATGCTGGGATGGAAAAAAAAAAAAAATCCTCTGCAGACGTAAAATCCGAGAGCATGAACTGGACTTTTAAACATGCTCCCACCAAAGCGGGAAGAAGGATGGGTTAGGAGCACCGAGGGGACATGTTATAAAACCACAGGCTTGGACTATTCCAATATGCCCATGTCGTGGAGGACAAAACTCCGTTCCAGATTACAAGGGACTGCTAGGACACCACTAAATGTAACGCACGACCTGGGACGGGATCGCGAATCAGGGCGAAAAATACCAGAAAGGACATTATTGGGGCTGCGGGTAAAATCTGACTCCGGGCAGCGTATCAGACAACTGCATTACAGCAAGGGTTAAGTTTCTTGAATTCAAAAAACCGCGCCACGTGACACTATCCCGTGTGATACTCCGATGGCGGATCTGTGCCCTGACATGTTTGTCTAAACCCATGGAAGGGACACCACCAAGAGTGAACCCTAATGGAAACCGTGGACCCGGGGCGACGATGTGTCACTGTGGGTTCATCAGTGACGTCCAAGGTGCCGCTCTGGTGGGGATGGTGGCAGTGGAGGCAGGGGGCCTCCGGGGACTCTCTGTACTTTCTGCTTAATTTCGCTGTGAGCCTAAAACCACTCTAAGGGATAAAGTCAAGAAGGAAGGGAGGAAGATGGGGCTGGAGGGCAAGGAAGGAAAGGAAGAACAGGAAGGGAGGCAAGCAAGCGGAAAGAAAGAAACGAAAGAGGCAGAGAGACGGAGTGTTGAAAGACAAGAAAGGCCAGTTCCTGACCCCATTACCTCACCCCCAGATGCATCCAGCCACACCTGAAACAAGACCTGGCTGTGGATGTTTTTGAACACTGAGCCAACAAATTCCTGTTTTCCCTTAAAAAAAAAAAAAAAAAAAGGACTGCCGATAAAGAGAGAAAAAACTTTTTTTGCCATGGTTGTGTAAGAGCATGCTCTTGTTCTCAGCTGGTACGCTAAAGACTTTGGGGTCACAGCTGCAAGGGACTCTCAGGTGGTTCAACAGTTAGTGTGTGTGCATGTGCGTCTGTAGAGGAAGAGAGGAAAAATATGGCCAACCGTTAACAGTGGTGGACAGCCCAAGGGTCTCCCAGGGGTCCCGGAGAGGTAAGAGGCCACGTGCTAACAGCAGGCCAGCTCTCAGAAGGCCACGGCTCACGATGGCATTGACGTCACCGTGACATCGGCATCAAAGGGTCTGCCGTTAATGACACTTCGGGGCTCACTGCTCCTCACTTGGCATAACGGTAAAGTGTTCTCTGGGGGCGTCCGACTGTGCTGCACAGGCCACCGCGGGAACGAGTCTGGGCCGAGAGCGCCATCAGCTCGGGCACCGATGGGGACCCAGAGGAAAGAGCCGCTTTGGCTCCCATCTGCCACCAGGAGGGCCTGCCTTTGTGTTTCACAGGTGTGACACTTGGGTCTCAAATAGTTTCCCTTGACAGTGAAAAGAAAGCGCCACGTCCTTGGCCTACCACCTGCTATCATGAGGAGCTTCTCCAGGTCCTTGATGATATAAATTTGGAAGACCGCTCCAATTCCGGGGACATGGGTGAGGGAGTTTTTCAAGACATTCAGTGCGTAGAGCCCTTCCTCAGTGCCCACCAACACCACCTGCAGGAACAGAAGTCCACAGGCGGAGAGTAAGCATAACCACGTGCCCACGACAACCCCGAAGAGTAGGAAGAGCAAGAGCCCTTTGGCTCGTGACTGGGGGGGCTACAGCCAGTGCCCGGAGGACAGCGCTACCTGGTCGCTGAAGGGCAGCGTGCAGTTCATGTCCAGACGGTCATCACCTTCCAGTTTCAGCAGGGAGTTTCCAAGCAATTTCTTTTCATATTGGAACCAAAAAGAAAAAAAAAAAAAAGAAGAAAGAAACAAAAAAAAAAAAAAAAAAAAAGAAGAAAGAAAGAAAAGAAAAGAAAAGAAAAGAAAAAAGAAAAAAGAAAAAAAAAAGGCACAGTAAGTTTGAACTGTTCATAACCAAACCATCCAGAGACAAAAGCAAGAACAGAGAGAAGTTTGGTGCCAGGAAGAAAGTAAGGTTACTCCTGAAAACGCCAGAAACACCCATTTGCTCTTGGCTTGCCCCGTATTTTGATCTGAGCTCAAAAGGCAGAAGGTGAATGTTTCTGGTACCTCCGGGGCGGTTGTTAATTAGCATCAGAGTTACGCCTCGGCTTGGACGCAGAAATAAATGAGTGAAGTAGACACTGAGAGATTTTCTGTGGTAGGAAATAAACTGACGCTAAAGAGATGTCACCCGCAGAGGGTTAATAAGCCACATGGAAGGCTCCTTCCCCTCCAGGCCGCAGCCAAAGTACAAAGCCCAGGGTCGGCAGTGAAGCAGCAAAAGGTTTTTTGACTGAATCTCTTTACCTGAACCCACGCAGGCAGAAGCTCGTAGGAGAGACGGTCGCAGCCCTATTGTGCACATATTAACGTGGATTTCAATAAAAGGCTCGCACAGGGAACCACAGAACAAGTCATCAAAACAGGTCCACCCAGTGAGCCAAGCTCCTCTCAGGAGGCTCATGGTTAAGAAGTTTGCCACTGCAAACACCGAACGTGTTAACTAGGAGCCCAGTGTTTGGTCTTGGGTGGAGAAAACGCCAATGAGCAAGGAGCCCTGTTTATATCCTGGAACTTTCCCGGAGGAGTGATGCCAATCAAGGCACACCTACAGTTCTGCCGTCTTAAGGAGAAGTAGGATCCCGAACCTGCCTACAGAAGAGCAGATCATGTGGAAGCTACGGAGAAAGTTATGGAAAGCCCTCCCCGAGTTGGCATGGTTTCGGCAGACTTTTGCGCTGCTTCGTGGCCAAGTGCTTGCAACTCAAGTCTTCAAATAAACTCATCAGAGTAAACGAGACAGAGGATCTCCGTATGAGTATGTCTGCCGCCACGACCAAGATCCGTCGCGCCCCAAGAGCTGGCTAACGGCGCTGACTCCCCCATTATAAAGGGCTGCAGAGGGAGGGCGTGTGACGCCAGACAAGCCAGCGCAGAGCCCGTGTCTTGGTCACACAAGCGCCCCAGTCACGACAGTCTCGGACCATCACCCCTCAGGGAGGCAGCAACAGGGCTCCCGGCACTCAGGTCAGTTCCCACGTCAGCCCACGTCACAAAGACAAGCTCCAGCGCCCGTCTTCATACTCACAGCATCGGCTTCTGCTTTTTCCCTAGAAACTCTCCCACCTGCGACAACAGACTCTAAGGCAGTGACCCAGCGCTGTTTGTCGGGGAAGCTGGGAGCCAGCAAGTAGAGCGTTCTCCCGGGCCAGCAGGTGGTGTGCGGGTGAGACTCCATCTTCAGTATGTAGGGGACATCTAGGGGATCGGACAGAGAGCAGGGGTTGGGTGTGGCTTTCCCGCCCTCCCAGGGGAGGGATGGCCCTGAGGTGTAAGAGATCCCCCTTCCCAAGCAGGCAAGTCCCAGTCCCCCCCTAAGACTGCAGAGCGGAGGAGCGTGGCCCCTTCTGCCCCCTGCTGACTGAGCAAGCCCGGCGCGCCCCTGGTGGGCTCTCCTGCTTCCCCTCACCTGCTTTGGCTGTATTTGCAAGCTCAGAAGCACCAACGGCGCCATGAATAGATACATCCCCGTCGGGAAGGCACAGCTCAAATTCTTCCACCGGCCTCTGTCCAGCTTGGTGCGAAGAGGAAGGGCAGAAAGAAAACCAAAAGAACAGGAACAAGAACAAGGGGAGAAAAGAAGAAGAAAAGAAACAGAGAGAGAGAGAGAGAGACAGGGCAAGAGAGTACGCGTGGAAAGAGAGGCATACGAGAACAAAGGAGGAAGGGGAAAGGTGTGCGGAGAAGGCAGAGAGGGAAGATAAAAACAAAATAAAGTGCGTCAGATGAGCAGCACAGTCAAATTTCTGATGCCGATGCAGATTTATGGGCTAGTTGACTGAGGCGGAAGTTCTCTGAAGGTGTATTAGCAGGTAGAATCTTCAGGGCAGCACCCTGCAGGGTCTTCAGAGGGGAGACCTATAGACGTGAGTATCGCACCAATAACCTTCAGCGAAGTCATTTGGTTTTTAATTTTCAAAAATGGAAAATCGTAGAAGGCTGGCGACGCAGTCCGGAAAACAAAACCTTCACGCCAAGACTGGGAGACCTGGGTCAACCACGTGCACTGAAACTGCCCCCTGAATTACTAATTTACCTTCTCTGGCTTCATTGTCATAAATGAGGACTTTGGATCCCTCCAGGACAATGTACTTCCGGTCCCAGCCTTGCTGTCCTCGTTTGTTATTCCTGGGAAAAGAGGGGTGGACAAGAACAAAGGTGTGGAGCCCGAATCACAGGACAGGGGGAGGGGTGGCGGGGAGGGGCAGAGGCTTCCCAGGGAAAGCTCGGGAATGGGAGCGGCCTGGGCTGTTCTGTCAGGGGCTGCAAAGCTTCCTGCTAGCCCTTGTCGGTTCTGTGGCTGGCCCAGGGATGCCACTGGTAGCAGAAGGACGAATGGGAGAGAAGCGTACGATTTTAATTTATATGCTCCCGGGAGTCTCCCCCCGACAATAAAGGCCCCAAAAGTGGAGAGGCCTCCGTGTTTGTACGCTGGCTCGAACAAAGACTAGTAATTATGAAAAAGCAACTAAAATGTTGCAGGAGACAGAAGGAAGAAAAAGGTTACTTTAACAAGGGTTCCTTGCAGAGTTCTCTCTGCAGGCCTTGATTCCCTGTCTCTGGTGATAATACTCCTTTCCTCCTACCAAAGGGAGGGCTGCTTTTACACAGGAATCGCATCTCCTACTTTCAGGAAGAGAGAGGGGAGGTCAGAGTGTCCTTCTGAGACCGGTGTTTGTCATGTGCCTTTGGCTCCAAATATTCCTTGTTTCCAAGTGGCCTATTTTGGGGGGGTGTCTTCACCAGCACCTGCCCCAGCCCGAGGCACCCTGCCACAATACCTGGGCACCTTCATCCACCCTTCCAGGTGCAAGCCGCTGCTGGGCTCCTTGGTCTGGAGACCTGGAGAGTTCATTTTGTCACGGCAGAAGGCCTCGGTGAAGTGTGTGGCATACTCGGCTGGCAGGCCACAGGTGGCTGGCAAGCACGTGGAGCACTTGGGATGACACATCACCTGACATTCTGGGGAAAAGCAGAAAACACCTTGGCGGACCGTGGCCCGTGCTTTCCTCTGCCAGCCAAGCCCCCGCCAGGCCCCAACACCCAGGCAATCCCTAAGCTTTCCCAGAAGCCAGGCCCCAACAGAGAAAGGAAAAGAGGGAGCCAAGTGTTCTCGACGCGGTGTTCCCGACTTCTCCCCAGGCTGCCACCAACAGGTGTGTAAGGGACCTGGTTTGCACAGTTCAGCTGGAGACAGCACACAGCCTAAAAGTGGGGAGAGAGCAACCTGGGCAAAAACAGGCGGCTGGAAATCAGCAAAGCACAAGGCATTTTGCACAGGGCGGTGGAGACATGAGCTGGAAACACGGATATGCTCATTCCTTTAACAGGGGAAAAATAGTGTCCTCCCACTGAAACTAAAAGCTTGAAAATGAACGTACTGCAGGATGAAAAATTTAAAAAGAAAAACCACAGGGGCACCTGGGTGGCGCAGGGGGTTGAGTGTCCAACTCTTGGTTTTGGCTCAGGTTGTGATCTCAGGATCGCGAGATCGAGCCCTGCGTCAGGCTACAAGCTCAGCGCAGAATCCGCTTGAGATTGTCCCCTTCTCTCTCCCTCTACCCCTCCCGCTCTGCTCCCCGACTCTCTCTAACGTAAATAAATGAATCTTTAAAGAAGAAAGAAGAAAGAAAAGAAAACCACCCACCCCCATCAGACAGATCTGTTTGGGTGGAGACAGGCAGGTGCCCACTGCAAACGCACAGCCGCTGCTCTTACCAAGACATTTGGATGCCTGGCGCCCAAAGTGCACAGTATCCAGACACACAGCACACTTTGTGGCTCGCATGTTCAATCCTACGTTAAATCGGTGAGGAATATTGTGGTGCATGCGCTCCTTAAGACGCCGACTGAATTCTGAAGGAAAATTAAAAAAAAAAAAAAAATCATTAGGTGTTACAAATGATCCCATCAAGTAAAAAAGAAAAACAACGCAAAGAACGGGAAAGAATATTTGTAAATCATATCTCTGACAAGGGACTTGTTGCTAGAATATACAAAAAGCTCTTACAACTCAATAATAAAAAGACAAATAACCCAACTTTAAAACGGGCAAAGGATTTGACTAGACATCTCTCCAAAGAAGATAAATAAATGACCAAGAAGCACATGAAAAGATGGTCAAAATCATTAGTCATTAGAAAAACACAAATCAAAAGCACAATGAGATTCTACTTCACACCCACTCAGACGTCTAGAATCAAAAATGCAGGAAACAAGTGTTGGTGAGGATGTGAAGAAATTAGAACCCTCATACACTGCTGGTGGGAATGTCAAATGGCATAGCTACTCTGGAAGACAGTTTGGCAGTCCCTCGAAAAGTTAAATTTCAGATCACCCAGCAATGGTATGACCCAGCGATTCCATTCCTAGGTATATCCCCAAGAGAACTGGAAACATACGTAGCCACAACATACAACGTTCACAGCAACATTATTTATAATGGCCTAAAAGTGGAAACAACCCAAAGTATTATCAGTGGATTAAGAAACAAGATGTGCTATCCATACAATAGAATCTTAACCAGAAAAAATAAAGAACTAATAAATGCTATAACATGGGTGAATCTCAGAAGCATTATGCTCAATGAAAGAAGCCAGACATAAAAAATACGGTATGATCTCACTTACTGAAATGTCCAGAGTAGCAAATCTATTCGGGGCAGCCAGAGGTCGGGCAGAGGGGAGAATGGGGAGTTCTGCTATAGGGTAGAGTGCTTTTGGGGGAGGGAAAGGTTGAGGCCAAAAATGTCCCCAAATTACAATGCGATGGTTGTACAACCCTGTGCACTTGATAAAAAAAAATCATACACTTCAACTGTGTGAATTGTATGTATGTGAATTTATCTCAATAAAACCGTAAAAAAAAAATTACAGCAGATTAGTTACAGGGTGTGAAACTATTTTAACACTAACAGATGCATCTAGATTTATAGGAATCAACTTCAGATCTCCATTATCCAGTTATTAGGAGTATTTTTAAAGAACGTATTACTGCCAGAAGACAGGCTATATGATACCAAAGATGTTTGTGGGCCTAAGGGAAGCATATGCTTTTAAGCCAAACATTTGTAAATATTTTAATCATGAAAGTTTTGTTTTCCAGATGAAATCCTGTATCTAGAAGTTTTCAGAATTCAGTTTAAAAATCAGTTCTGAATTACAGAATTTCTAATTATTAGATACATAAACTGCCTGAAGAACTCTCTCTTCATGTCCTGTTCTTTCATGAATAACCTCCGTTGGTTAAAAAACTCAACGTTTAAGCCTTAAAAATTGAATTATTACATTTATATTCCACTCTGTTAAAATAACGAGGTTGCTATAGGCCCTCTCTCCAGTGACCTAATTAAAGACAGCCTTAAACAGCAAAGCTTGGGATCCAAATTTCTGAATCCAAATTGGGTTCTCCACAGAACATGGCCTCCCATCCTTTATCAGAAAGCTGCAAGGAATAAATGACGTGAACGCACTCTGACCCGGTGAATACACACGGGAAGGAGGGGCCTGGGGTCTGAGGAACCTCGCAGGCCGCCGCTCTACGGAGCCCGGTCAACAGACACTGTGGCCAGAAAGGATTTTCTTCCCCCGTGTTACCATCACTATAAAATGATGACTTTAAGAGTAAAGCTCTTTGGGGCACCTGCGTGGCTCAGTCATTGAGCGTCTGCCTTCAGCTCAGGTCATGATCCCGGGGTCCTGGGATCGAGCCCCGCATCGGGCTCCCCGCTCAGTGGGGAGCCTGCTTCTCCCTCTCCCTCTGCCTCTCCCCCTGCTTGTGTTCCTTCTCTCGCTGTGTCTCTCTCTGTCAAATAAATAAATAAAAAATCTTTAAAAAAAAAAAAATAAAGAGTAAAGCTCTTTGATTCAAAGTGTTATGAAAACATAGGAAACGAGGGCATCATCACGGAAGGAAAACCATTTGCTGAAGAAGAACCACAGACACACCAAAACACCATCAAGATTTGCCACTAACATCCGTTACATTGTGATACCATGACGCTACCCCACAGCTCTGCTCTACGATCCCCTAAGACCTTCCAAACCACCTTCCTTGGCCATTTTTTTAAAGAAAGGCAGACTGCCACATGCAGCGCCGCATTTGGATGCGTCTGGAGTCTTGGAAGCTTGACCACCCGACATTCTCCTACAAATGGACCTTGAGAGCTTGTTTGAAGGTTCTAGCAGGGGAGCTCAGCTACTCATATACCCTTGACCGAAGAACAGTCCTCCGGTGTCAGGGAAGGCCATCACCTTTGACCAAGCATGCAGCTTCAGGGGGGATGACACACACATGGAGCGGTGAGGGAGGAGGGGGACACCTGCCTAGCCAGCCATATCAGCCGAATCAACCCTGGCGATCAACGGGGTATCAGATGTCACAGCCAGATCGCCCTCACAACCTGTCCTTTTTTTTTTTTTTTTTTTTAAAGCCCTTTTCCTCTCTAGATGAACAGAGTACTTTTAAGACCACAAAGAAAACTTCTTACACTGCTGGTAAGAATATAAACTGGATCAAACTATCAGCATTCAAAATGCAAATAATCTTGAATGCAGTGAGTCATTTCCCAAAAACTAATCCTATGGCTGCAGCACCTGCAGAGGTGCAGCGTTTCGCTACAGGGTGCTCCTGGTGGGGGGCGACTGGAAACAACCCTAAATGCCCATCGGCACGGGTCCTGGTTTAACAGGTGAACCATGTACCCACACCAGTGAGTACCATGCGGCCCTCTCAGAGGACGAGATCGATGCATATGAATTAATAAACACTCCAAGATAATATTTTAAGTAAAAAAAAAAAAGGTGTTTTGCAGGGTACAGCGTGTGTGCTGTGATATTTATAATAGAAAAAGGGCTGAGGAAAATACGCCTATTTTCTCATACTCTTGAAATGTAATTATATAAGATACAGGAGTAACACGACCTGCGCCTACATGCATATGAACTATTGCTGGAAGAATACTCAGGGACCTGGCACTGGGACAGGGGAGAAGACGAACTTCTTACTCTTTGGTATTATTACCCTTAGTATTATTACTTGTCACTTTTACCATATGTCTGCATTTTCTTGGTCGATTAAAAATGATTTTCAACAGAACTCCAGTGGCTCCTTGGGCACGTACCCTCTGGAGTTGACGACTCCTTTCTGCGGCTGGACGGCGGGGCGAGCAGGCTCATGGCACTGGGCTGGTGCTCGGGTGACCGCACGATAGCGGACATGGCGATCTGCTGCCTCGCGGCGGCTGGCGTGGACGGGTGCGGATGGTCTGTGGCCTTCCGGTGGGCAGCTGGAGAGAGACCAGTCCGATGCCTTTCGGTTAGCTGGGTCACCAAGAGGCTGTCTTTCGAGGACCCAAGACCAAGAGAACAGGCATCGTGCCGAATGGGCAATGCCAAGGATGCTGTGCATTTTTCAGACTTGGGGGATGTCTGCACTGAGAGCTTCCGGGCCATAGAGACAGATGCTGAACTAGTACGACCCATCTGCTTGAGATGGGTCCTCTGCCTTTATTCCACAGACTTGGCATAGGGAGTGCCCCTACCTTCCTCCCGGGCAGACCGGAGCTCGATGCGGGTCTTCTGAAGGGCTTCCTCTAGCTCTGCACAGCGAGCTTTCTCCTTCTCCAGGGCCACCTTCAGCTCATTGTACTGCAGAGGAACCTGTGTGGGCAAAGCAGGGTCCTCTTTCCGTCGACTAAATAAACCCTAGCAATGGAAACAGAGATATCTCCTAACTCCTGGAAACTGGCACTGGAAACTAGCTAAAGGAACACTGACTCAAGAGGAGCAAACCACGAAAGCCAGGAGCATACTCACTGTAAGCGGATTTAGTAAAAATGGCATGTGAAGGGGGGAAAGGGGAGACTGAGCCACAGCCCATTCCAGCCGGCTGGAAAAAAATAGGGTTTCGGAAATTTTCGACAAGAGGGTTCAAGATGCTTGAACTGCCACCACCTCTTCCTTTAGCATTCCCAAGAAGGAGAGCCATTTCCTGAGTCTTTACCCTCAAAAAATGGAAGTGGAGGATGGAGTCAGGAGGGATGGTTCAGAAATCACTCTTGCTTTGCGTTTGTCTCCTGATGCTTAGTTACAAGACACAGAGATGAGTGTTTAAAAAAAAAAAAAAAAAAAAAGGAGACCAAAAACCTGAATACTAAAATGATATCAAAACAAGGGGCTTACTCAAAAAAAAAAAAAAAAAAAAAAAAAAATGCAAATGGAAACACGTACTGGACACGGTGGGGAAAAAAGGAAAACACAGGGAATAATGGGACTGGAAAAAAAAAAAATTAACAACCAAAAATCAATGGAAACACCCTAGCTACAGCACATGACACAATCAGATAACAATCCGCTGCTAAAATAAAAAAAGATTGAATATCATAAAAGATTAAATATCATAAGCATAACAAGCACCAACTGTCACACGGTAGGCCAGAATATTCCCTCCCCTGCAGCCCCCACAGGAGGAAGCTGCCTCTGAAGGCTACTCTCACCTCTTACAGTCCAAGCAGGGCTGGGACCACAGGCACCAACTGCCCACTCCAGCCCCCTCTCATGTATTCCAAGTCCCAGGGGGGTTACCACTGCTCCCCCGGCGTAGGGATGCCTTTGGAAGCAAACTGCAAGCTCCTTAGAGACCTTTTCCAACTGAGAACACCTGGCCAAACCTACTGGGGCGGGGGGGGGGGGGGGGGGCAGGCGGGGGGCTCGGTGGTTTAGGGAAGCGTGTTTTAGGTGTAGTAAAAATCTTCCCAGGTGCATCTACATAGAACCCTGTCCATAGTTGTTGTTGTTGTTTTCTTTCTAGTCATAGTTTTTCATTTGTTTGTCTATCATAATTTTAAAGGGATGGAGCAGCACTCAGTGGAGGGCCTAGTTATCCAGTCAGGCCCTGTAGGCAAGTCACCTCAATTCCCTGGTTCCTGGTCTCCTCATAGGCCTTTGCCAATCAAAAGGACTGGGCTGGGTAATTTCAAGTCTTTTCTAGAGTCCCGTACACGTGCCCTGAGAATCCTTCAACAGAACTAAGAACCCCTTTCTCTCTCTTTTGAATCCCAAACGCATGACCTATAGTCTCTCTATAGTCCTGTACCCCGTGACCTGCTAATCCCTCTGGAGTCTTGTACAGTGACATCCGTATAAACCTTTCTCTCGGCTGTCACCCCCACCCCAGCTGCTTAGGAAATGGGAAAAAAAAAAAAAAATCATTCCCTTATCAGAGATAGGCACCAAAGGCCATGAACACAAAGTAGTGTGTTACAGACTTGATTAATGACATCCCTTCTGTAAGGACTGTTCTGACTAACCCAAAACCTCTTTTCAACCCAATATAAAACAAGAAAATGTTCGTTTTGTTTTCTTTTATGTTTCTATAATTATCCATCACGGCGGTATTTAATGAATCATAATGACGGAGCAAAAACTCCCCACTTTTCAAACACAAGGACCCACCTTTTTCTTCTTAGCAGGCTGGTCCATTTTGGCTTGCAGAAAGTCAATGAGTTTGGTTTGTTGAGAAATAGTACCTTCCATTTTCACCTTTTCGTGAGAATAGAGAACCTAAAAATTCATAAAAACAAAAATAAGCTCAGCCCTTGAAAGAAGGATGCTTTTAAATTTGGTACTTTAAGAACCTAAAAAAATTAGGTCGTGAGGATACTAGCATATGAAAATTCAACACAGACCACGCTGGGCCAATATTTACTTACTTAGTCCTTTTCTTATGGCCAAAAACAAAACGAAAAAAAGGACTGATAGACGGATAAGTATGTGGAAAAGCGTAAAAAAAAAAAAAAAAAAAAAAAGCCAGGGGTTAATATTAGAATCTCAGAGCTGATCATTATAGGTATTTTCCAACTTCTCTGAAGGTTTGGAAATTTTCATAATGAAATCGTGGGGAAAACACACAAAAATCACAATATAAAGAAAGTGAACTTTTCACCAGATGGCTTTTGGCCATGATGCTTTGCCTCTGCAGACAATTTTTAAGTAAAATCCCTTTGCTGGTTCTCACCTGAATGTTTTCTAGCTGGTATTCCAGATCGCTCCTTTCGGTCTTCAGCAGATCAGCCCGGTCCAGAGCTTCTTGCAGCCCTTGAGTCAAACGGAAGATGTGATTCTTCTGCAGGTCCATCTGCTGCTGTAATTTGGCTTGCTAGTGGGGAGAAAGGCCAAACAGAGTCTCGATACCACAGACAATACAACTCGTTCCCCCACTGTTCTTGTTACCAAACTAACTGCAGGCATGGCGCCAATTTTCGGCTTCTGAAATCATCTCGTCTTCTGTCCCAGACGGGTGCATGGGCACAGTTAAAAAGAATTTGCCCAGAAATCTCTGACGGCCAGCAAATCACAGGATCCCCACTGTAGGAGGAAGGCTAGCTGGTGTGTCTGTCTTTCCAGTCAGTTACAATTAAGGACACTGCCCCCCTGTGAGTTGACATCAAAGATGCTGCAAATTCCTGCAATGACAACTAAGCTCCAATTTGTCCTTCGCTTTGCTTTTTAAGGTCTCATTTGCTATTGCGAGAAACCACTGTTCAGGCACTGTGGATGCACAAACAGGAATCATGTCACCTCTAACTTAAGGAGCGCCTTGTCAGGGTGAGGGACCCCCAACCAGGACACAAAGAGCCACAATCATAGGAGATACTTCTGCAGTGTGGGGAGGAAGGAAGAGAAGAGCCCAGACTCAGCACAGCAGTCAGTAAAACCCGGGGGCGGGGGGATCACTTTAGTGTTTTAGAAATAGTTTTGTGCTGGAAATCTCTCTCCAATTTTTACAATGGAAGTCAACCAGAAAATAAAGCGGGCTATAAAGATGCTGGTTTTATGGCTCTCCTTCCTAAAATGCTTCTGTTTCTAAAAAAGCAGGAGAGAGCAGCTACCCTGAGGAGACGCCGCCTGACGGCCTCCGACCCTGGTGCGACAATCTAACCACCCTGGAGGTGGCCCTAATACCCTCTCCCGTGGTGGCCTAGACTCTCTGCACACTCCAGGACAGAGCTCCTGAAGAGCAGTAAACACCACCACGGGCATTTCCCAGCAGGCGACGGCAAATCTCCGCGCTCTCAGCCCCAGAAGGCCGAGAGCTACCAACAACCTCAGAACTTGCTGACCCTCTTCATCTCATTTCGCTTCCCTCCACCTACGTTTTGTTTCTCTTTCCCATCTCTACTCCTCAACAGCCCTTCCCCTTGAGGGGAAGCGGATTCCTTGAGGCATCACGGTGTGGTGGAACGAACGTGGGCTTTGGAATGCTACAGACCCTAGTATAAATGAGGACTCTAACATTTATCAGTCACAGGACCCGAGGGGAAGCTCATATTGCCTCTAGAAGCCTCAGTGTCTTCACCTGAAAGTGGGTACAATGCCTGCCCTGATTGGGTGATATACTGAGCGCCATGCCCAGCGTACCATAGATGCTCAAGGACTTTTCGCAGTCTCGCTGTCTCCCCTTCCCTCCATCCAGTTCAGGCTCCCCTGCCCCTACCCGGTCTGTCCCTAGCCCAGCTGTCTTCCCCATGCCGACCTCCTCTGCCAGCCTCCCCGCATCAGTCCTCTGGAAAGCAAGAGATACTGTCAGCAACCAGAGATCGCCTGCCCTGTATGCCAACCTGGAATTTCTGAATCAAACCACAGAAACCCCTAAAATATGGGGAGGGGGGAGCAGAGAAAACATTAAGATTACCGCTTAAAGGGAGCTATCAGTCCCCTACGGCACAAGTGATTTCCGCAAATTACCCTCTTTAGTTTCTTCCCACTATTTTAGGACAACATTAATTACTAGGCAGGAAGCAGAGAATAAGGAGCTGGGGACAAGAATCGGGCTGGTGACAGCCGGGCCCAAAATATTTCTCTAGAACAAACGCATCAACTGTCCCGTTAGCTTTCCAAGAAACAGGCTGCTTACTCACTATAATAAAAAAACAAGTGAGAGTGGCAGGTTGCTGCTCGGTGGAATGCTTTTCAAAACCATTTACCTGCTTCCCAGAGAGAGGCAAATGGGGGCTATTCACGGGTCAGTGTCGGACTGAAAGGAGAGCATTAGCTCTGTGCTTTCATCTGTCCAAGAGTTTCACAAGCGTGACAGGAGACTGGCAGGACGCATGAAGGAGCTGGATCACAGAACCGGAGCACCGGACAACCCTGGTGGCTCAGAGGATGGATCAAAACCAACCAAAGAAAGTTCAAAAGGATGGGATTTTTAAAGACACTGCCTGATAAGGGCACCTGGGTGGTTCAGTCGGTGAAGCATCTGCCTTCGGCTCAGGTCAGGATCCCAGGGTCCTGGGATCAAGTCCCGCATCGGGCTCCCTGCTCCTTAGGAGCCTGCTTCTCCCTCTGCCTCTGCCTCTCTCTCTCTCTCTCTCTGTCTCTCATGAATAAATAAAATCTTTAAAAAAAAAACCATTAGGGCGCCTGGGTGGCTCAGTTGGTTAAGCGACTGCCTTCGGCTGAGGTCATGGTCCCGGGGTCCTGGGATCGAGTCCCACGTCGGGCTCCCTGCTCGGCGGGAAGCCTGCTGCTCCCTCCCCCACTCCCCCTCTTAGTTTCCTCATGGGTTAAAAAAAAAAAAAAAAAAAAAAAAAAAAGCTTCCAAAGCCATTTCGGGCCCAAGAGGAAAGATATCCATTAGCAAAGTCTGCCAGGGGCAGGGATGAAGGGGACAATGGAACAAGGGCTGGGAATCTGGGCTCCATGACATAAAAAACTCTTTCCAAGACTGTGATTCTGGCCCCATTTACAAGTCTCTGTGCCTAATGAAGAGGACACTTGGGTTAATTTAAGAAAGAAGACAAATGAGCAAATACAAAAAAGGAGAGAGAGAGAGACAAATGAAGAAACAGACCCTTTAACTATGGAGAACAAATTGATGGCTACCAGAGGGGAGGTGAGTGGGAGGATGGGAGAAATAGGGGATGGGGATTAAAGAGTACGCTTAGCATGATAAACACGCACACAGTAATATCTCTTGATTTCAAGATGTGTTATCATCAGATGGTCTGGTAATGGAATAAGATAGACATGTAGATGGCTTTGTGACAAAGATGTCAAGAAAATTTAATGAAAAGAGTGTTTTAACAAATGGTACTGGAGTAACAGGACAGTTCTATGGAAAACAGTGAACCTCTCTAGCCCGGGTGGCTCAGTCGGTTAAGCATCTGATTCTTGGTTTCGGCTCAGGTCATAATCTCAGGGTCATGAGATGGAGCCCCGCGTCAGGCTCCATGCTCACCGGGAAGTCTGCTTGAGATTCACTCTCTCTCCCTCTCCCCCTGCCCCTCTCCCCCACTCACACACTCTCTAAAATAAAATAATCTTTAAAAAAAAATAAAGAATCCAGATACAAGGAGTATGTATACTATGACCTCACTTCTAGGAAATTCTAGAAAAGAAAAGCTCTGGGGGCGGGGGGCACCTGGGTGGCTCAGTCGTTAAGCGTCTGCCTTCGGCTCAGGTCATGATCCCAGGGTCCTGGGATCAAGCCCCACGTTGGGCTCCCTGCTCAGCGGGAAGCCTGCTTCTCCCTCTCCCTCTGCCTGCTGCTCTGCCTACTTGTGCTCTTGTCAAATAAATAAAAAAATAAAAATCTTAAAAAAAAAAAAAAGCTATCGGTAGTGACAAAGAGCAGATCAGTGGATACCTGGGGCCAGGGTCGGAAGGTATCAACTAGAAGGGGCATAGGGAACTTTTTGGATGATGAAAATGTTCTATGTTTTCATTGTGATGATGATTAGTCAGGTGTTTACATTTAAAAAATGATTCAAAAAAAAAAAGAGGACACTCAGGTTAGGCCCTTGGTCACACGCTTATAAAATGCACACCACGACCAAGGATCCTAGCTACATCCTGGACAATAAATATCATTCTTTGTTTCATAATGGTTTCAACTGTCAGTGAAATCTGCCTCAAACTCCACGTCAGCCAGATGTCTGTGCTCAAAAATCTATCTGTGAGGTACAGACTGGGAAGCTGGAAATGTTCTCGTGTCGTTTAAAAGTGAGAAAGAGGGGACTGAATCAGGATCCCAGTATGCTATTCCAAGCCTTGTCACTGACTCACCATGTAACCTTGGACCAAAGTATTGAGCTGTCAGAGCCAACTCTCTTTCCTCGGAAGGAAAATAGGACAGGCAAGATCATTGATTATTTCTGTTCTGTTTCCAACATGTGCCTAAAGCGGGGACATTGCCTATTCATTCCAGATAAAAGACCATCATTCTCTACTTGACCACCAGGGAGATTTTTAAATTTTATGACAGCGTTCTTAACGCTGCCTTTGGTTAACTTCCCACCCATGTGTGTGTATAATTAATTTTATTGTAAAAATCTTTACTGTGATACAATATACATAAAATTTACAATTTTCACCATTTTTTTTAAAGATTTTATTTATTTATTTGAGAGAGAGAGAGAGCACATGAGAGGGGGTAGGGTCAGAGGGAGAAGCAGACTCCCTGCTGAGCACGGAGCCCGATGCGGGAGTCGATCCTGGGACTCCAGGATCATGACCTGAGCCAAAGGCAGTCACTTAACCAACTGAGCCACCCAGGCGCCCTCAATTTTCACCATTTTTAAGTGGACAGTTCACTGGCTCTAAGGACATGTACAGTGTTATGCAACCATCACCACCATCCACCCCCAGAACTCTCCCAAATTCCCACCCATTTTTTTTCAGGTCTCATTCTGTAAAATATTTCATACTCACCTGCAAAATTTGCACCACACTTTTCAAAGTTAATAGCTTAGCAATATTATTTCTATCAGCACAGTTCCTCGGGAGGTATCATATAATAAAACCTCAACGACACCAGAATAGGTATTCTGGTTAATTGAACTATCAGGTTCACTATGGGTTAAACAGAACACTCTTGGAGTCCTGTTTCTCATTAAATATCTTTATAAAGTATATTTGTCCTGGTTGATCAATTCTAATGAACAAAGCAGAATCATAAGTGATTCAACATATAAGGGAGGGCTTTCGTTATTTCTTAAAGAGAAATTTTCAGAATTCTGTTAAAAGGTCCAGGAAATAATATAAGCAATGGGTTCGGGAGACCAATTTGAGCTTTCCATTCTATGTCTCAAAGGCAGGGCATAATTTTTTTTAATTGAATTAAATGATCAAAAGTTTTCATGAAATTTAGTACTCAGCATAAATCCGATCAAGTCCCTGCCCTGTGCATGAAGCTAATTTGCATAGATGTTTATCAGCCTGAAAATGTAATATACTTTAGATATTAACTCTAAAAGAACAATTTAATTCAATATTCAGTCACCCGTATATTTAATAAACTTCCATTTGGCACATACTCATCTGTGCTCAACATTCTTTTAAGCACCATGTCGAGGGATACAAGTGACAAAGACCCTCTGGCCTTCGTGACACACTCTTTAAACGCGTTGAATACCTTCAAAAAAGTATTAAGTGACCACCTTACTCTTCTTCAAAAATTCAAACTTCAAAATTTGAACGTCTGATCTGGATCTGACCACCTACACACAACAAATTTTCACCTTCAGAATTCCACCTGGCTCTACTTCTCAGGTGTTTTGTACTCACCTCTTCCAGAAGCCTCTGTTTGAGCTCCCGTTCAGTTTCCAGTTTCTGCTGTAAACTGCGGGCGTTCATTTCAAGCATGGCATGTTTCTTCTCCAGGTCATTAAGCTGGGCATTGGGAAAAATTGGCCATAATATCATATTTAGGAATGCTAGATACTAATGACTTTTGCAAATACCTTCACATCTAAAGAATCAAGTTCTGAAGATCAGAATATTAATATTGTTTTCTAGGGACACCTGGGGGTGGCTCAGTCGTTTGAGTGTCTGCCTTTGGCTCAGGTCATGATCTCAGGGTCCTAGGATCGAGCCCCACGTTCAGCACAGAGTCTACTTCTCCCTCTCCCTCTGCCCCTCCCCCCACTCATGCTCATTCTCACATGCGTGTGCTCTCTCTCAAATAAAATCTTTCAAAAAATAAATAAATGAATAAATAAATAAATATTGTTTTCTAAAAGTATATCACAAAGGTCCATGTCACAGATAAGCCTTATATGGGGATAGTATTATTTCTAATGGGTCACATAAATAGCTATGACAAGTTCTAAGACAAGGATGATCACTCTGGCTGAACTTAATTAAATAATCAAATGCTGAATGCTTACTATTTGCACAGCATTATATCGGGCCTCTTGGGATGAAAGAATGGACGAACTCTCTTAAGAATCCTACATAAAGTCACAAAGGCAGAGAGTAGCCCATAACTAGACCTATACACAAACAAGGATTGCTTTGTCACATAATATTTTTGACAAGAGGGGTATGGAGAAGAGAAATTCTTCCTGAATTACCAGTTTCAAGAAAAGATGATATCAATGTCTGGAGTCTGGTTTTGTTTTTTTGTTTTCCTAAAGTAAACTCCACACCCAGTATGGAGCCCAACATGGGGCTTGAACTCACAACTCTGAGATCAAGACCTGAGCTGAGATCAAGAGTTGGACACGTAACCAACTGAGCTACCCACATGCCCCAATGTCTGGAGTCTTAAAGGATGAGCAGAACTTTGCTATAGAGTACTCTAAGAACAATCAAACAGAAAAAGATGCTCAAGCTAAACCAAAAGGGTTCATTTACCTCTAAATAATATCCTTAGTTTCCTCATGGGTTAAAAAAAAAAAAAAAGTAAGCCAGTATCAAGGAACTCCAGAGTGTTCCTGAGTGGCAAGCTCTAGCCTTGAATCCAATAATTTTATTTCTGTAAGAAAATCATGGATATTCATAAAGATTTATGTTCATCATAGTGTTCTTTATAACACTATGGCAAAAAATTGAAAGAAGTTCAAAGTTCCAACACAAGTAGAATGATTAAATGATTAAATAGGTACCTCTGTGTTGTTGAGATTTTTTTAGAACTACATGTTCAAAAAACATTCAGTAACTGAGGAAAAGCCCCTAGTTCTATGTTGTTTTTTTTGAAGATGTAAACTTGTTTACATAGTAAGAATCTAAATTTATTCTAATAGATCAGTGGTGGATTGTCAGTCATCTTTTCCTTTACTTTTCTATGGTTTCTAGACCTGCCACAATGACCCCAAATAGTTACTTTTATGATCATGAAATAACAAACAGTTATACCAAATACGAAATTCAGATTCTTGCTTTATTTTATGTGTGTGTTTGTGTGCGTGAAAAAATGCGCATGTGTGAACCTGGGTATATACATGAAATTTCTTTGATCTCCATTCTTGTTATCTGGAACATGGGGGCATCTATTTGAAATCTCTTTCAAGACTTAGATGAACCTCCAGAACACGGGGACATAACGTGGCGTGCTATGTGGACAGGACATGCATATTTCCAATCTAAAATACCGAGGACTCACGTGGCCATCAGACCCTCTTGTGCCCCTGGCCTTGGAACAGAGAGAGGCTGAGCTGCCTACTATTGCAGCAATGGAAGGAGCATTAGTCTTTGCCATTGAGCACTTCCCAAGAATGCTCGACATTAAATCCAGCAACCAACCCAGAGATTAAATCTAGAAATCAGCTGCCAGAAAACGAGAGAGCTGTGTGGCCAGATCAGAATCCAGACCTCAGGGGCCCAGACAGGCAGATGTTAAGAAGTCACTGACAGATTGGGACACACCAGTCCCCACCATGCCTCCCCCCCATGCTCTCGCCAACCCAGGGTGTCCCGTGTGGAGCCTAACCCTGCGACTTGATGGGACGGAGCAAACATGTGTTTGTGAAATATGCTGCCCGTGGATTGCACCCGAATGTGGGTCGAGCATGCCTTCTAAAAGAGGGAGATGAAGATGTCCTCCTAAAAGGCAGAAGGGATGGGCGCTGACCTTGTCAGAGAGGCTCTCAGCTTTCAGCTTCTGCTCTTTGAGGGCCTGCTGCAGGGCCAGGATCTCAGCCTTGTGTTCCTTCACCGCCAGCTCCACCACCTGGCGGGACTCGGTGATCCGCTGGTCGGCCCGCGCCCTGCCGGGAAGGCACAAGCCCATTTCAGAAGCGCCACCATCACCAATCCAGAAAAAGGAAGTGGGCCCATCTCTAATCCCAATAAGCAACCAGACAGGCTGCAGCTGGACAGAGGCCCAACCCCGATTCCCAGTTCCAAATGATGTCTTGCTTTCTGACTGCTTACAGAGCAAAGAGTTGACCCACTTCAGACCTTGGGTAAAAATACTCTTAAGAGGTTAAGTTCCTGTGAGTACTCACTTGGAAAGGCTGAAGAGGAAAAGCCAATTTTCCAAAAGCAAATGGACTGAATACAATAGAGCAAGACTGCCACAGCCTCCCCTGAGAGCAGAAATGGAATGAGGTCCCCCTGAGGGACCACAGGAAACCCTAATCGAGCAAACATTTCCTCTCCTTAAAGTCTATGCAATAAGTTACGTGTTTGAGGTGAGTGTTAGGAAACAAACTTGAATCCAATGCATGTATCTATAAATAAGGTGAGAGAATAGAAAAAAACTAGAAGCAAGCTAGAAAAATTGCTGCCCTTCCCCATTTAGGTCTTGTGTTTTGCTACTTGCATACCTGGGCTTATACAGTCTCCTCTTCTGGCCAGTGCTCTCCTCCCCCACCTCCCCTACCCTGCAAGCCCGAATCTTACTTGGCCTTCAGGGATGAACTCAAAAGGCCATGTCCTCCGTAAAACCTTGCTCAATTTCTCCTCTTGCAAGAAGCTCTCCTTGCTCTGTATCCAAAGTGTAAACATACTCCTCTCTTGGCACACCCCACTCTCTATCTGAGGTGGTAAATATCCGAAAGCATAATTCATCTTCTCTATGAGACTTGCCTCTTGAGCACAGGAATTAAGAATTATATTTTACTCATCTCGGGATCCCACGGAACACCAAAATAGAGGGGGGGGGTGGGGGGAAGAAAGGAAAAGCCAAGATCTTTCACAACTGTCCTTGAAAGTATACATGAAATGTCTTCCTAAGCACAGCCCATAATTATACCTTCCATGTGGAGTTGTGTGTTTCTTGATGCTGAAGCCAGCTTCCGACCCTCAAATTGGTCTCTGAGGGATTCTAGAAACACCTCAGATAGGAGCTGCACTTGAGGGCAGAAGGAAGGGGGTCTGCGTGAAAGCAACCAGAATATACCATGAGGACTCAGGGTGAAGAGGAACAGGAGGTCTTAAATCAGCAGCCCGTCAGGTCAGCAAATACCCCGAGTGGGAGAATATCCAAAAAATGAATATTTCTACCAGTGTCTCTTCAAATTTAAGAAGTCTCATCTTTTGCCTCCAATCTTTTCTAGTTTAACTGACTTAGCTCCCATTAAATATCCACCACATTTGGCTGAGTCTACTGTGGTCAAGTAAACGCAGGAAATACCACAGTGAGTCTGATGGTGCCCAACTAAATGCTCTGTGAGAGGCATTTCTAGGCACAGTTTATCTCACTTAAGGAGTTCAGGGTATCCTAGGAAGGTCAGTTTCAGAGGAAGGTGATATGAGTGAGGTTATGAAGGACGGCTACAATTCATTTGTGCACACATGAAGTCATAAGCTAACTCTAGCATGCACACTGGAAAATGGGACCCATTCTTCAAGATCATTTATTTCTATCTGCTGGTAAACTGTCATAATATACCCATTTTGTTAGAACCAAACACTTTCCTACCAAGAGCTGTAAAACTGTCATAACCAATCTTCCCATCAACCATGTCTGCAGTGTGAATGGCACCCCCTTGGGGTAGGAAGTCTATGACCTGCACTGTCATGGCCCCAGCAGGAAGGGGATTCTGACTTTGGGAATCAAAGTGGGAAAGCAGAGGAAAGATCCTGCTTGAACTTATTTCCTACCACAAAAGAAAAAAACTAAACTGTTCTTGTAGAGAAGCTGTTCTCCACCAAGGGTGATGCTGCCCCTCAGGGGACATTGGACAATGTCTGGAGACATTTTTGGTGTCACAACATGAGGAAGGGGTTGCTACTGGCATCTAGTGGGTAAAAGCAGGGATGATGCTTCCATTCTACGATGCATAGGACAGGCCCCACAACAAGGATTATCTAGCCCAAACAGTCCATAGTGCTGAGGTTGAGAAACCCTAGTGTAGACGGGTGACTAGCTTTACACAGGACCAGGATTAAAATGGTGATGGTCTTGCTACATGGTCACAATGATAACAAAGGCAAAGTAAGGGTTTCTGCCAAGAGAGCACTGAGCTATTTGCCCTGCTGACTCCCAGGCCTCCGCATGGGGTAAAAGGACACCAGCTTCCAACACAGACAGAATCCAAGTGACATTGACCATATTTACAAGTAGGATGACCGACCCATCCTGGTTTGCCCAAGAGTTTCCCAGCTTTAGCACTGAAAGTCTTGTATGCTGGAAACTTCTCTCAGTCCTGGGCAAGCTGGGACTGTTGGTCACCCTGTTACTAATGCTCAGGTGATCCCGGTGAAGACACCTGTCACTGGCTTTCTACAAACAGGAAGCCCCACCTGCTCTGCTTCTCGGTGTCCAGCATCCTCTGTAACTCTCGGACCCGACACTCAAACTGGGACTTCTCGTCGCCAAGGACGCTCCTCCACGCCTCCCACTGCCGCTCTTTTTCCAGCAGCTCATCATTCAGGGCCTCCAGGTCCATGACCTGTTCTTCCAGCATCGTGCAAGTGGTCTTCAGAGCCTCCATCGTCTGCAAATCAGTACCACTGAGTTGTGCCTTGTATCAAATGAGGATTTCCCGGATGTTACTTTCGTTGGATCAGCGTCAGAAAAGCACAAGTTTCTAACTACAATCTGAAACACAGTGTATCTGTTTTCTTCTACAGACCCAGGGGACCAGACAAGAATGGATAAAGGGCCATTTCTGCCACCATCTTAAAGACAGAACCCAATGCAAGCCAGGGGGAGGAGACAAGGCTTAAAAGTCAAGGGGCTCACACTAGCCTCCCAGAATATTCTATTTTATTTTTACCTTTTTTTAAAGTCAGAATTAAGAGAACAACACACTTTTAAAAGTTACTTTTTCCAAACCCCCAAGCCCTCAAAACATAGACGTGCTGATGAGAAAGAGCCCATTTAATGGACAGGGCTCAGTCTTGGATCCCTTGGGAGAGGTATACCGGGCGCCTGCTCTGAAATCTAACAGGATCAAAGGGTGCCAGGGGTCTCTGACACAGCGTACTGCCCTTACTTGCTTCTGGCTCGTGAGCTGCATCTCCCTCTCCGTAATCTCGCGGCGGAGATGGTCTACCTCACTTCGTAATTGTACTATCTCATCGTTGGCGCCAGAAGCCTCGTCGAGTTGTTTGGACAAGTAGAAATTTTGGTTGTTGAGCTCAGCGTTGTCCTCGGTCAGCTGGTTTAGCTGCTCCTCCAGGTCTGTGATTACCTAAAAGAGGAAAGGAACCCGGTTCTGCATCCAGCAAGTCCGTTTGAAATGAGAAACTGCTTCCAGAGCCGCTGATTTTGGAACCTACGTGACACTAACAATCCACGTGCCACTCACATTTGCTCATCCAACCCTGGCCGCCAAAGCCAAACTCCCGTGCCCGCCCACTCAGCACTAACACACACGTGCTGTGGTGGAAAAAGAAAAGTCTCTGATTCTTTCTCACTCATGATTTATCTGGAAGACATGGCAAAAATAGATCAATCAAAAGTGACTGCCGAATGGAAGGGGCAACTTTAAACGAGATCAAGTTAATGGATGATAACATTATGTGGAGAATGCAAGCCAAGGAAAGGCGTCTAAGAGACTGGCATCACAATCAGCTAATTAAACAGACGGCACCATCCAGAGGACATTAGAACCGGAGATAGTCTTAGAAAACAAAATAAAATTCTTATCAAGGAGGACTGACTATGAAGGACACTAAAAGTTATTTTAAAATCTCAGCAATAAATTTAATTTCATGCAACAAAAGGAAAAAATTTAAGGGAAGCTCAGAATAATCCTGAAAATATTGTACTATGGCATCACTTTAATGGTTTTTATTATACAGTTAGCTATCAAAAATGGGAAGGAATGTATATGAAATTGTCATTTTATTGAGAGAGATTTAATCTGGTTTTGCTAAATTATTTCCCTACTCAATGGCAGAATGACTTTGATTTCAGTGCATTTAGCTTCCCTATTCTCTTTTCTGAGGTTCAGTATCAGCGCTTGCAGAGAGCTTTTGTATATAATACTTTCGAAGTTTAAGGGCAATTTTCTAATAATTTGAATGAAGCACACAGGGAGTAAATTAAATTTTATGTAACAAAAAAGTAAATTAAAAGGAAATGCCTTGAAGCCTACGGTTTATTAATTGTTTCCAATTTCCAAACCTAGAGTAGACTTAGATTATGAAATGTTGCCACTGTTTCCATGACTAATTCCCTATTTTAACCCCCTCTGATTATCAATTTTAAAAAAATCTTCCCAGCCACAAAGAATTAAAAAACATCAATTAAGAACATTTGTTCAATGTGGCTCAGAAAACAGCTTTTCATTTTGTTAACTAAGCTGATAAGCTTTCAATGTAGTAAGTGGTCTAGTAATGTGTACTTTAATGTCAAAAGCCCTGCTAATTCCTAATGTAATGGTTGAGGTGCACTGTTGGCTACAAGATGGGGAATAAAGGTTATCTGGTTGGGTCCTTAGCTAGGACTCCTTTATCAGGGAAAATGGGAAGACTGCAAGTTTGTCATTTTTAGTCGGCAGTTATGCCTTAAAGGGATCCCTGGACCACCCTTTGGGTGCATGGTTAAATCTCCTAAAACCAGAAACAATAAGTAAACAATGCCCAATAGTTCAACTGGTCTCCATCTTATATGGAGTGAAGCCATTCCTTAAGATAGTTTTCATCCTGGACTATAAATGTCTCCATTTAACTACTATGCTTCTTTTTAATGTCCTTCCCCCCAACACACCAAAAACAAAAACACAAGAAACAGAGGCAAGCTGGCCTGGAAACTATGTTCTCAAATGGAGTCTGGAGGCCCAAATAAAGCCATCTTGAACTTTGCAGGGTTGGGGTCTTCATCTGCGATAAGGAGGTAGATACTATATTTACTACCTCCTCTGTTCCATTTTTTTTTTTTTACGTTTTGAATTTTCTTGCATACTCTTCTACCTTAATGTAGCCTGTGAAATACAAGGGATAAAAATTAATGACCAAGATAATGTTTCATTTTAAAGATTATCATGGTACCTCTTGTGGAGCAAAGAGGCTACAGAAAATCTGCTCACATAAGAATATACACGTTGCCAGGGGCGCCTGGGTGGCTCGGTCGTTAAGCGTCTGCCTTCGGCTCAGGTCATGATCTCAGGGTCCTGGGATCGAGCCCCACATCGGGCTCCCTGCTCAGCGGGAAGCCTGCTTCTCCCTCTCCTTCTCCTGCTGCTTCTGTTCCCTCTCTCTCTGTGTCTCTCTCTGTCCAATAAATAAATAAAATCTTTAAAAAAAAAAAGAATATACACGTTGCCAAAATAATTTACTCACCACTCAAAGACATACCTAAGCCTTTGGGTTCTCACTCCCTTTCTCTGATTTATGGGGAAAAAATTGCAATTTATTATTAGCCCATTTCTGCTAACTCTTCTCCTTTCAAAATAGATTATAAAGTGCTAAAGACAAAATACTTGAAAAGCTCAATGAAGTGCCAAGATTATGACTCTCACTTCAGTTGAGACGGGCCCCCACCGGAGTGGGAGACATCCTTCTACTTCCCTATTGTCATTCAGTTTTCAAGGGGTCTCACATCTCTGATTTCTACTTACAGTTTGTGAATGTTGGTTCTACCCTATTTTGCATGTTTGTCCAGAGGAGGCTTATGTGTTCGTGTGAAGCACCCAAACACTCATTAAAGCATTTTAACTCATTCAGACTTCTTATATATTCTTTTTGCCGAAGGCATAACATGTTTAGCTTGTGACTCTATTTTGAGGCGTTGGAGTTGTGGTATTAAGTGTTAGTATTAGACACCCCCCCACACACACCCACGCATACATTATTGGGTTTAGATATTGAAATGACTTGGGACACAGGCAGAAAATTAATGGTCTCCATGGTTTAAAAAAATTTTTTTTAAAGTATTGGGATAGGCAATCTGTGATTTTGAACGTGCAAGGAGGATTCTTAGGTCTACCATGTGTCCGTGGGTGTATTCTCTCCACACCAAAGGCAAATGATCTGTTTATTATAAGTCTGTTAACCTTTCAACCCCAAGGATACAGGGTAAAAAAGAGAAACTGAAAGGCTGACTCCATCTTAGCAATGAGAAGAGGAGGGAGACAGCTTCCTAACACAGGGGCCAACAGAGCTTTCTTCTATGCTGTTTTTGCAGATAAGAGATCGTGATGCATTTCTAAGAGGAAATAAGGATATAAAAAATGATCTACTCTGTGTCCGAGAGAAAGAGAGAGAGAGAGAGAGAGAGATCTCTATTTGGGGTTATCTGTTTGTTGCTTTTCAAGCAAACCTGACAGTTCTGAGCAAGAACTGTTTACCTCTCACACCTGATGGGAAGACCAGCAGGGAGAAGGTTACCAGGTATATGTTCAATAGCACAATGGGGGTTAGAAACCAGTCAGATGATGAGCATCGGGCTAAAAAGACACAGGGCTAAAGTCCTACTGGAATGTCTGGTTCCTTCTTGAAGGCAGCTATTTGCATATTATTTATTTTTAATCTTATAGCTGACAGATTGATTCATAATTAAAACTGTGTCATATGTTTGCCCACCAACTCCCCTCTGAAACAGACTTAGGTAGGGTTTTAGGTGCCAGATTGGATCAAACCCTTTTTTTAAATCTTGTCAAAATATAGAAATGGTCTGAGCTGGAAAATCTTACAGCTCATGAGCTTTTTAAAAAGTTGCTAACTGGGAGCTCCTATCAGTTGAGTTATTACAAGAGTTCCCACCAGTAACAAAGATGACGTTTCCTTGCAGAGACAATCTCAGATAGTGCCAGTAAGACAGAAACATCCATCAGGCCCTTCAGAAGTGTCTTTAAAGCAGACTTTGAAGTTGAAAAAGGGTAACAGAGATCTGCTATTGCTGCCAAATGTTGTCCTAAAGCAGTGGTTTTCAAACTTTTTAAAGGGGCGGACCATTTTCTAAACAAAAGAATATGTCGTAAACCCAGTATAATAAAATATTAATAGTAACCAATACTGTTTAGCACTTGCTATGGACCAGGCCCTGTGTAATCCCTTGGATACATCATCTAATTCTTGCAGGACCCCCATGACACAGGCATTAGGACCAAATTTGATTATGTGACTTAGTGTTTCCTAAGTTTTGAACGTATATTGGAACTAAGCCGCTGTCTCTCTGCCCTCACCAAGCCCCCCAAAGAGCAGTTATTAAATGAATTATGCATCTTATAATTGACGATATATTGAAATGGGGAATATACAATGTCAGTGCCGTTTTACAAGTAAGCAAATGGAGGCTTGGGAGTTTAGCATCACACAGACAAAGAGGCCAATTTCGAATCAGAACCCAGTCTGACACCAGAGTGCATGGTTGGACCACGAGCAACCCAGCTGTTCTTGCCGAAGTGTGGGTGGGGGTCACTCTTTCGGGTTCCCCCTCCCACTGGGAGAGGTCCCAAGGCTTCTCCACAGAATGTCAGAAGTAAGTAAAGCAAGGATTAGAAGTCACTGCTCCCATAAAAAAAGCAAATGTGAGGGATCAAGAGAATATAAAAGTTACTTAAGAAAGTAACCAAATTCATTCTACATACTGGCATATTCTATTTAAAAACAAACCTCTAACTTTTCAAATCTGGGGGTGGGGATCATTTCATTTCTCACATGGAAACATTTGAGAGTAAACGGATACATTTGTTATTTTGATTGTCTTGCAGGTTTCACAGCTGTGTACACATTTCAAAACTCGTGAAGGGGCGCCTGGGTGGCTCAGTCATTAAGCGTCTGCCTTTGGCTCGGGTCATGATCCCAAGGCCCTGGGATCAAGCCCCGCATCAGGCTCCCTGCTGGGTGGGAAGCCTGCTTCTCCCTCTTCCACTCCCCCTGCTTGTGTTCCCTTTCTCGCTGTGTCTCTTGCTGTCAAATAAATAAAATCTTTAAAAAGAAAATAAAATCTTTAAAAACTCTTGAAGTTACTGTACTCCAAGTATACCTCAACAAAGCTATAAAAATGTTTTTTAAAAAAGCTCTTATTGGGGTGCCTGGGTGGCTCAGTTGGTTAAGCGACTGCCTTTGGCTCGGGTCATGATCCCGGGGTCCTGGGATCGAGCCCCGCATCGGGCTCCCTGCTCGGCGGGAAGCCTGCTTCTCCCTCTCCTGCTCCCCCTGCTTGTGTTCCCTCTCTCTCTGTCTCTCTCTGTCAATTAAATAAATAAAATCTTTTAAAAAAATTTAAAAAAAAAAAGCTCTTATTGGGACGTCTGGGTGGTTCAGTCGTTAAACATCTGCCTTTGGCTCAGATCATGATCCCAAGATTCTGGGATCGAGCCCCACATCAGGCTCCCCACTCGGTGGGGAGTCTGCTTCTCCCTCTCCCTCTGCCTGTTGCTCCCCCTGCTTGTGCTCTCTCTGTCAAATAAATACATAAAATCTTTTAAAAAAAGCTCTTATGAATATGTGGCGTGCGCACACACACACGCACACATGCTTATTCAATGGAATATTACTCAGCCATGTAAAAGGGATGAGACTGTGCTATCTGTGACAACATGGATGGACCTAGAGGGTATTAGGCTAAGTGAAATAAGTCAGACAGAGACAGACAAGTACCATATGACTTCACTTACATGTGGAATCTAAAAAAACAAAACAAATGAACTAACGAACAAACAAAAAGCAGAAGCAGACCCACAAATACAGAGAACTGATGGTTGTCAGAGGGGAGGGGGAGGGGGAGAGATGGGTAAAATAGATGAGAGGGAGTGGGAGATACAGACTTCCAGTTCTGGCACGATTAAGTCACAGGGATGAAAAGTACAGCATAGGAAATATAGTCAATGGGATTATCATAGCATCGTATGGTGACAGATGGTAACTACACTTGTGGTGAGCCTAGCATAATATATAGAGTTGTTGAATCACTGTGCTATAGACCAAAAACTAATGTAATATTGTGTGTCAACTATACTTCAATTAAAAAAAAAAAAAACTGTTATGCCAAAAGACTAAAAAAAGAGAAAACTCCAGATGAAGGATTAACGATGTACACATTTATAACATATCCAAGTTTATTTTAGGAAAAAATAGTAATATAAAAAAAAAATCACGGTCATAAAATGATCTATGTTTTATTCAGTGATCATTTACGAGCATGTATGTAATATAAGCAAATAACTCGTGCATAAAAAAAGAAACCGAGACAGTAAGAAACCAAAAAAGTGGGGGCACGAGAGTACAGGAAAAGAACGCATCAGCAACTCAAGGAAGAGAGGCAGAATGGAGGAGATCGGGAGACGCTTTTAAGGCGGGCCTACCCCTGATGCAGCCACTGGCATCGGGAAATACAGACCAAAAATCCATCTGCCAGGTACCTACTAGAGTCAAACAGAGGCATATCTCATGACCTACTAGCTACTCCACTCTTCGGTATATGCTCGTCAGAAACAGGTGCTTATGGCCACCAAAGGACTCACGCAACAGTACTTCCTGACAGCTGTGTTCCTAACGGTAGCAATTCAAATTCCATCAGCACGGGAGTGGATAAATAAACTCCACGTCTACGCATCCAATGGCAACGCTACACCATAATTAATGAAAGGGAACAAATTCTTGACGGGTTCAACCACACTGATGAACCTCACAGACAAGTAAAAAAAAAAAAAAAAAAAAAAAAAACCACCAAAAAACTAAGCCCAAGAGAGCACATCCTCTGTGATTCCATCTGTCTGAAGTTCAAGAACAGGCCAAACTGATCTCTGGTATCAGAGGTCAGAACTGTGGTCACCCTTTGGGCAAAGGATGCTGATAAGAAGGGGACGTGAGGCAGCCCATTGGAGACTGAAAATGTTCTGGATCTTGATCTATGTGGTGGCTACACAGTTGTCTATATGGTGCAAAAATTTCATTCAACTGTACCCATAAGATTAGTGCACTTTATCCATTTTACGGTGTGGATTTTATAACTAAATTAGGGAGGAAAAGCATACACTCTTAAGACTTAACGTCCCATTTATAATAGGTAAAGAGGAAAGAAAGAGTTCATTACAAGACAATAAAATATGTACGTGGGGAGTACAGTGGGGTTGTTTCTGGAAATTCACAGATGCGAATAACACAAATGGAGACAAGTTCACTGAGGACTAAGAAGGTAATAAAGCCACGAAAGTACCAAAGAAAGGAGGTGGAACCATGAATAAGGTAACATCCTATCTTCTGAAAGGGGCCTATTTCAGTCCTTTGTTCCAATGGGAAACAGAGCGAGCTTCTGCTGACCCTACCCCATTACATAATCTGTGCACGACACTTCTCCACCCACAGAATTTACTTCTCTCCATATAAATGACGTCTCCTAAGGAGCCATAGAGTTTTATTTTGCCTGGTAGGAAGTTAAATTTCTAGGTCCACAGAACTTGCCAGACTTTCCTCCCTGCGGCAGCAGCGGGCTGGAGAAGCCTTGGGTCGCAACCGCCTCCAGCGTCCACAAAGCGTCTAGCTGGGACTAGCCTCGGAACCTTCTACACTGGGGCGGGAGTGGGAGCTGCCTTGGGACTTTTGCTGCAGCTACTGCAGCCCATGCAGTGAGAACTATTCCCACCACTCCAACTATCCTTCCCCAAACACAAAGAATGGTTTAGAAATTTTTAAACTGGCAGGAACCTGAGAACCGGCATTATCTGAGGCTCAGGAAGTCCAAATCAGTTTGACCCCATTAAGTGCTTCAAGTGGAAAGTCTGTAACAAAAAATCGGTCAGTTGATATTATAAGAGATGCCCCCTCTTCCCTCTTGGTGTCTAGTCTCATGTTATTTTAATCATCTTTAGATTTAATACTCACAGTACAGCTGTTACGAAGGGCATCAAATTTGCGCTGGATTTCATCTCTATGGGCCTAAAAGGTAAGAAGTCGATTATAAATTTTCGTAGGGTAGGATACAATTCTACATGCTATGGATCAAATAAAGAAAAGAGCGATTAAACTAGAAAGCCAAGAATGCTGTTGCAGCCGCCCAAACATCTGGTTTTCAAAGAACTAATTAATCAAGTCATGTCCAACATCAGAAATTAAAGTTACAGGAATACACAGTGCTGTGTTAATAACACTTGACTACTTAGACCAGACATGCATACCCTGTACAAACATCTTAACATTCCTATTAATGCCCAGGGGCTTTGGAAAAAAAGAAGAAAAAAATTCAAGGAGGAAGTTTTTACTCTCGTTCCTTTGTTTACTCCTCGTTCTTAACCTGTCCCTTTTCCTTCCAGTTGACTCCTCCCTAGCCTACTCCCTGAGAGACAGACACACGCACACAGACACACAGACAGACACACACACACACACACACACACACACACACACACACACACACACACACACACACACACAGGACAACAGCCAGGACAAACAAGGGATTTTTTTGTTGTTGTTAATCAAAAGCTGCTGAGATTCAGAAACCCGACATTGACCTTCAAGTAAGCAGAAGGCCTTCTCCAAGGCAGAGCTGCTCCCTAACAGCAGCATTTGTTCAGCTGACATTCAAGGACTTTGAGTGCACCTGATAGGCCATACACTGTGGGGCGGTACAGCACACGTGGAGCTACTGTCATTCACTGAGGGAGGGAAGAAAGTTAACGAGTCCGTGATTACAAACAGTGACAAATGCTATGAAAGAAACAAACAAGGTGCGGGAAAAAAGGATAAAGGGGACAGAAAGGAACTTACTTAGATGGGGTAATCAAGGAGGGCTTCTCTGAAGAGGTGACACTTAAACTGACACCCGTAATATGATGAGGAGCCAGCCATGCAAAGAACAGGAAAAGGCAGAGGGCCAAAGTCTTGAAGCAAGAAAGGGTTTGGTGCATTTGATGAACAAAAAAAGGCCTGAATGGCTACAGCAGAGCTTTTCAAACTTCAAGCTATGACCCAAGAGCAAGCATGACAAGTAGGGTTTTTCTTTCTTTTTTGTTTTGTTTTGGTTTATTCGATGAAATGGAATAAACAGAATAGAACAGAGAACACTGGGATCTACCTTGGATAGGGAAGCACTGTCACAGGACAATTCTGTTCCAAATACCATAATTCACCAAATTTAGGATGCTATCAATCATCAGACATTGTAATTTTACGTGGCATTAAGGAAAACAAGGTGCTGTTGACTAAACTATGACATGTCCACATGTCTGTATGTCCACATGACTAGAGAGTCATATACCATCTATGACTATAAGATGCACCCTGATTTTAGATACCTTAGAATCAATGAAGTGGAATATATATATATGCTCCCTTGTATTAGACTGTAAGTAAATGTATTTTTGGTGGGTAGTGGTCAAACAATTTTTGGCTAAAGCACAGCAAGAGAAGGAAAAAGTCGCCCAAGATGATGGTAGAGAGGCAGGCAGGGACCAAGAATCTTAAAGACCCAGAATGGAGTTTGGGTTTCATTCAAAATACCATTAATTGGAAGCCAGGGGAGATTTTAAGAAGTAGAGTGAAATGATCCAATTGTCATTTTGTGGATGCTGTAGCAAGAACAGATCAAAACAGGACAAAGGTAGATATGAGCAGGGAAACTACTGAGGAGGTTGGTGCTGTCATTCAAGGAGGAGATGATAATGGCTTCGAGTAGGACGGTGGCAAAAGACAGAGAGGAGTGGACAGCAGTGAGATCTCTTCTGGAAGCACAGGTAATAAGACCTGCAGACAGACACTGGGGAAAGAAGGGAAAAGGATGCCCTCACAGACCTTTGACTTGAGAGACAGGGTAGATTATGGTACCAGAGCTCAGCTATGGAAGTCCAAAGAAGAATCTAATTTGAGGCAGAGGCAAATGCAGCCCTGCTCTTAAAAAAAAAAAAAAAAAAGTCTCTGTCAGGTCTATAAGACAACTAAGTCAAAAGTTTTAGAGCTGTGATGTATTCTCTAATACATCTATTTTGCCATAAATATTCTAAATTTATAACAGCAGATAGACGCTGCAAAAAAAAAAGATTAGTGAGCCTGAAGACAAAGCACTAGAAACTACCCAAAATGAAACACACAAAGACTTTATTTATTTATTTATTTATTTTTAAGATTTTATTTATTTCTTTGTCAGAGAGAGACACAGCGAGAGAGGGAACATAAGCAGGGGGAGTGGGAGAGGGAGAAGCAGGCTTCCCGCCGAGCAGGGAGCCCGATGCGGGGCTCGATCCCAGGACCCTGGGATCATGACCTGAGCCGAAGGCAGATGCTTAACGACTGAGCCACCCAGGCGCCCCCACACAAAGACTTTAAAAAATGAACAAAGTATCAGTGCACTGTGAGACAACTTTGAACTGCCTAATATGCATGTACTTGGAGTCCCTGGAGGAGGGTAGGGGTCAGACAGAAAAAACAGTTGAAGAAATAATGGCCACAGATTTTTCAAAGTTGATAAAAACCATAAACCCACAGACGCAAAAAGTTCAAGGAATCCCAAGCACAAGAAACACAAAGAAAATTAAGCTAAATCACATCTTTATCAAACTGCTTAAAACCAGTAATAGAGAGAAAAAGCTTAAAGCCAGAGAAAAAAGAAAAGTTACATATAGAAAAACAAAGACAGATTCCTCACCAGGGGGTCGGTGGGAAAAGGGGAGGTGAGGGGGTGAAGCAAGTTAGAAGACAGTAGAACAACATCTGTAAAGCACTGAACGGAAAAACAACAACAAAAAACCCAAAACCTTTGACATTCTATACCCAGCAAAAATATCCTTCAGAAATGAAGGTGAAATAAAAGACTTTTTCAGATATACAAAAGTTGAAGGAATTTGCCACCTGCACTGTAAGAAATGGTAAAGGAAGTCCTTCAGGCAGAAGGAAGGTGACAACCAGAAATATAAATCCACACAAAAGCATGACGAGCACTGGGAAAATGGCTTAAAAAAAAGAGTTGCAAAATAGACTCACAGATTCATGAATAAAAAGTTTTCATTGAGAATCAACTCCCCACATCATTAGCCCATATTTTTATGGACTAACTTACCAGACTCTTACTTTTCCCCCAAAATCAATCTGCTCTATGCCCAGCAATAATCCGAGAGATTTACTGATTTAATGGGGTAATGAATGCCATTTATCCAAAGTAGGAACATCGCACTACCACTGAAACCAAATGGCAATCCTCTTTGAAGTTAAAATGTAATGGAGTACCATCATTATGGCTTTTGATTTATTATTGACTGTGAGTTATAAACACAAAACGTAGAATGGATCCTGTTACGACTGCTGGAGATTCTATAAGCATTTAACAATTACTGAACTGATCTGAGCAAGAAAATGTCAAGAAACATGTTTTATGTTTCTTTGAAATAACTTGTAAAACAAGTGCACAAAAAAACAAAAGGTCACACAATAGTTTATATAAAGATAGTAAAATGCGTAAGACAGTGTTTAGATCCTCTCAATGAAATTTTTGAGTGTTCACTAGGTATCAGGTGCTACAGAGAATAAATATTTACACCCTTCAAAGGACCCTGAAGAGCTTTTGTTTATGTGGATTACATTTATCTATATTTACCACTTTAGAAATTAAAATGGAGATTTTTTTCCCAAATATTTACTCTCTATTTCTTTTAAAATAACACTGCTTTTGCACCATCAGTGCAAATGCTAACACAATGAAAAATGCCAAATGACATCTTAGCATTATTATGAAAATAATCTGAATTTGGGGAACCCCCTTAGGGATCCACCAATCCCACTTTGAGAACTGCTAAGGGTTGGGTGGCAATCAGGGAGAATGCACAGGCTGCAGCCTGAAGACTGGAAAGGCACTCTTTTTGGGGAATTCTTATGTCTTCATTAATGTTAAAGAGAGTTACAAGAGGAAGAAAGAAAAGAGAATTATAACGCAGTCTTGATGAGAGAGAAGTACCTGCAGAACTCGAGAAAGGAAACTAACGTTTAGACGTCTGACCATCTTCTGGGATCCATGGACAGGGTTCTAGAATAATCAGGCTTCCACACACCCATCCCTTTCCCTGTGAATGCGGGCACCAAGCAAGACTGTCACCTCATGTGCTCTAATTTTAGATCTTGCTTATCATGCCAATGGCTTGCTTAATTAAATACACAGATTGATATTTATGTAAAACAAATGAGAGTATGCATTGACTCATGATTTTAACAAATCAAAGAGGATGACATTGGGAACCCATGGCCACACCATGCTGGGAGGGTGCCTTTCGTTAGTCTCTCTAGCTTTAGACTCTTGATTATTCAACATTAGTCATTTAACCAAATCAGTAAAAGAGCATGATGACAGGGACCCGGACACGAAGAGTGTGTCGTGGGGTCATGCTGGTGTACACAGAGCCTACATCAGGCCCCCACCCTGTGGCCCCATTCAGAGTGATGTATCATATCACGCTTCTGTCTGCTCTACAGTGTGCAGACTCAAATTCTCTTCCTTAGATAAAGGGATGGAGTCTTAAATACCAAGTCCGGGTGGAAAATCCTTTCTTCCGCCAAGAAGCATGGAAGCACCTTAAAGGCCTGGCTTTTTGTTTCAATACGACTCTCCTGATTGGCCTCCACCTTGATTCATTCTCAGCTTTTGATGGCCCGTGAACCTCCATGCGAACACAACGGACGAGAGTGGGTAGCAAGAAAACATCAAGGAGACCAACCAGTGGCTTCCCGGAGGACCCTGCCACACTTCTTCAATGGAGACCATTGACCGAGCTGTGCTCCATCTAATCTGCTCCAGGGGCAGAGGCCAGAGTAACTGCTCGCTCCCCGGGCTCGGAGACAGCAGCCTCTTAAAATTAAGCAGTAATAGCCCATTTGACTATTCATTCCCTTTTATTGATAAATCAGCCTGCTATGAAGCTCGCAAACCTCCTCAGAGATTTCAGATCCAGCTGATTTAATTTGGCGGACACTTACGTGGGGCCTGCCCTGGGGCCTGAACAATGAGACAGAGTCAGGGTACCGCACCCGTGGCCACTTCCTCTTCCTCTCGGAAAATAGAGTCTTCAGCGCAAATTCAACAAAGCCATTCAGGCAACAGCTGCATGCGGTCCATAACCAGGTTTATGGGACATAATCGAAGGGAGAGGAGAGGAAAACTCATGGCCTCAAAACTGGAGTGAGGCAAGTTGATACGGGATTTGCATTCTTGCATGACAGGCTACAAACAGCTCTGATTGAAAAAGCCCTATTTTCCAAGGCATCTTCGTCTGCAAGAGTGGTAGAGCCCTGGTTTCTAGACTTAGGGAGGTTTGTTTCTTTATTTTTTCACAAGAAGATGCTCTGAGGCAGTGACCTCATCTGACTAAGTCGTGACTTGCTGCTGTGAAGGCTTCCAGCAGCCATTAGACACAGCACATTCTAATCAGCAGCAAGACAGGATTTAAAGACTAATTTCTCCACAGATAAACAGCAGTGACACATGCTCTATTTTATATCCTCCTTCTGAATGAGCAGGGCAAGATGCATGGCCACCACCCTCCCTCCCAACTCCAACAGAGCGGTGAGATCAATGTGTCCTTCTCGGCTCCAAAGTAAAAGGATTTGAGGAATTACAGGCCAATCCCCTGGGGAGAAAAGGCTAAAGACACAGCACTAGGCACACAGCAAGAACTCATTAAGTATGGATTAGATTACTGATGTCTCCTTCTCCTTCTTTCAGAGCGTGGGTGGTTTGGACAGCGTGGGGAAGATATTAATACACAACACACTCAATATAATAGTGGCTGGATTTTTAGATGCCTCCTTTAGCAGCTAAGAAATGCTATCTGGCTGTCTCTCTCCCCATCCACCCAATTCCAGAAAGCACATAAGCCTTCTTGGCACGCATTCTTTTATATTCATTTCATTCCTACCTCCATATTTTTCTTCTATAGACTTATTTTCTCTTGGCCTTTTCTTTCTTATTTTATCTTGTTATACTGTTTTGTTTCAAAATGGATTCAGAGCAGTTTGGAAAGATGCAAGGCAGAGGATAAATAAAGAGAGATCGTGACTGTTTCTTTTCCAAACCAAGTATTAGGGGCACATGGCATAGCACACAGGGAGTGTTCTCACTGAGAAATTAAGGTTGCAATCAATATCTGACCTTGGCATGAGTCCTGCAAAATCTGAAATGCACCTGCACCTTCCTAATAGGAGTTACTCTGTATTCCCAGAATCCTGGAAGCCTCCATGTCCTAGACTAGTCCATAAGGACCCTGGCACTGTCAAATCATGTTCCCAATCTGGTTCAGATAATGGGCTTCCTAAAGCCAACAATGGAAGGTAGCTTCTAAGAAGATTGTTTTAAAAAAACAAAAAACAAAAACGTGTGTGTGTGTGTGTGTGTGTGTGTGTGTGTGTGTGTGTATAGGCGCCTGGGTGGCGCAGTCAGTTAAGCGGCTGCCTTCGGCTCAGGTCATGGTCCCAGGGTCCTGGGATCGAGCCCCGCGTTGGGCTCCCTGCTCGGCGGGGAGCCTGCTTCTCCCTCTCCCACTCCCCCTGCTTGTGTTCCCTCTCTCGCTGTGTCTCTCTCTGTCAAATAAATAAATAAAATCTTAAAAAATATATATATATATATACACACACACACACATTACTTTTGAACAGGATTAAATCACAAGCAATGAATGTGCATGGCCATCTGTAGAACTAACCCCACTCTACATGCTTAGAGATGCCCACTGATGGAAATGAGGACCGCATCCAAGATGAATCAGAGTGAGTAAGGTACCCACCTAAGTACCTTATTTTAGAAAACACGAAACCCAATCAGCTGCAGTGTGCCCTGCCCACGGAAGAGGGTACCCTGACCAGCATGCATGACTGTGCCTGTCCACTTGGCAAGTACACTATGTTACTATCAGCAATGGATTTGCTTGGCTGATACTAGCCATTAAACTCATTTGGCTTTCTGGGCCAAGTCCAGGTCCACCAAGCAGCCTTCCAAAAGAAATGAGGTTTTTAAGGAGACTTCTCTGAAGGAGAAAAAAATGGGAAGATGAGCCACCCAGAGTATCCCAGTCAACTTGGTGGTTGTATTTTCCACTGTTAAGTAGATGGGTTGTCATTTTATACATAAGATTCTTGTCAGTTTTGTTAGCCTGAGTCAGTCCCTGTGAGAAGGATCAACTATGGGAAACTGAAAAAGTCATATTTTTAGACTTCCAGAAAGAACCAAGGTCTAAATCCAGTGACACCCTCGCCTACCCCCCCGCCAAGTACTACTTCCTGAGAACACTCTTCAGTTGGGTAAACTGTTGTCTCCGAAAGAGCAGAGAAGCCAGGTTCCTCTGAGAGAAAAGAATCTCTCATTCAGAACAATCTTTTCCATCCAGAACATACTAGATGCATACATAAGACTTGAGGAGAATTTACAGCTTAAAACAAACAAACAAACAAACCTGCAAATGAAAGTTAACCAGTACAAAAATAGAAATGTGGTAGGAAGACTACTATAAAATATAAGACTATTATTTTTTTAATGATCACTGAAAACTAAGTAGAAGATTCAAGTAAATGGCCTTCAGCTCAAACTAAAATTTTAAATTTAATGATGATTATTTTTAAAAGAGGGAAGATACATAAAGAAAGGAAGGACTGTTTCAAGATACTAAAGGAAAGGTCAGATGTTGACACTAATTCTCAGGAAGGAGAATTCTCACCTAAGCCAGTTTTCTGGCCATTAAATATCTCTAGGGATCGTTTTCTCCTCTGTTGGGATTTCTCCGAGTGAGCAAATCTCCTCAGTGCCACACTCCTCCCGGCTGAGGCCTGGAGCAGCCTGAAGGTACCTGTCCGTAGACCTACCGTGAGTGCCTGGATCTCCTCTTCCGCCTCCGCCGTCGTCTCTTCCAGTTCGGTCTTGGCCTGGCGCAGCTGGCTCTCCAGGGCTGCCCGGGCAGCCTGCAGGGCCGTCAGCTGGGACTCGCGCTCCTGCAGCGAGAGCTGCAGCTCCGTGAGCTGGCGCTTTAGCTCCAGTTTCTGCTCCTCGTGCTCTAGGCTGACCTGAGACGGGAAGAGAGAGACACACAAATGCTCAGTTGACCCCAGCTAGAGAGAATGCAACTCACTAGTCTAACGAGCTGAGCCTGACTAGCTGAGACGCAACCTGACGCTCAACCTGCATCTTAAATGTGGTCATGGAGTCAAATTCCCAGCGCTCAACTGCGAAGGAGAAAACAGAGCCGCTATAACACGGGTCTGACTTCCGGAGTCTCAGAAATGACCAGGAGCAAGACCGTGGAAGAGAATGTCTGTACAAACCAACCCTTACTTACAAACACTCAAAGGCCTGGGGAGGCTTCAAAAAAAAAAACCACACAAAAATCTCGAGTGCAAACTATGACAATTACTTTTATTAGAAAAGCATTTAAAAGTAAATGGCTATAAATAACATCATATTGGTAACAGGGACCTCTTTACAATTGGGATAAAAATGGAACCACAGAACTGAATTCTTTTTACTTTAAATGTTCCTGCTCTGGGGCGCCCGGGCGGCTCAGTCGGTTAAGCATCCGACTCTTAGTTTCGGCTCAGGGCATGATCTCATGGGTCATGGGATCCAGCCCCAGGTCAGGCTCAATGGGGAGTCTGCTTGAAGATTCTCTTCTTCTGCCCCTCCCCTTGCACACGCTCTCTCTCTCAAATAAATCTTTAAATACATACATACATCCATACTCTTCTGATTTGTTCTAATTAGGTAACCCACATTAATGTCACATTATGAAGGAATCATTCTTTCCATCTCTCCTTCTATCTACTCAATGTTTCATCCATTCAAGAAAAATGTACTCAGCAACTTCCATATAAAAAGGAATATGAAGATGAAAGACAGTTTCTGCACTTGAATTGGAGGAGAAGTGAAAACCAACCATGTATGTGGTCAAGTGTAATGGTCAGAATATGTGGGGATGTAGTGGGAACACAGTGGAGGGTAAAGGAGGTAACAACTCTGCATATGTTTATTGAAGAATTCATAGGAGCCAAACCAGCAAATAGGAAAGAAAATTCCAAGCAGAGGAACCAAGACATCCAAAGGCATGGAGATGAGGGAGACCCATGGCCTATCTATTGACCTAACCAACACTGACAAGGATTGTCCTAGCGACCAGACTCTGTGCCAGTCATTGCAGATGTCAAGTAAATAAGAGGTACTCGCTGCCCTCAGGAAGCTCACTAACAGGTGCTGCCAACAGGTACACAACGTGATGCCCTAAACACACAAGGCTGTGGGGACATCCAGCTTAGGAGGGTCAGAGAAGGGTCCCTGGGAAAGGTGGCACCCAAGTCCCAAAAGCTGTAGGGGTGAAGAGAACAAAGACTTAGAAGAGATTAAACCTACAGAGATTAAGAACCAATAGGATTTGGTGGTTAATTTGAGGTGGGGCAAGAGACAAAGGACAGAAGGTGACGCCTGAGCTTCTGGCCAGGTGAACTGCGCAAGGGGAGACCTCTGCTACGCCAGGGAACACAAGAGGAAGAGCCAGTCTGTGGAAAAAGATAAGAAATTCCATGCTGGGGCGCCTGGGTGGCTCAGTCATTAAGCTCAGCTCAGTTCATGATCCCAGAGTCCTGGGATCGAGCCCCGCATCGGGCTCCCTTCTCCGCGGGGGGCCTGCTTCTCCCTCTCCCACTCCCCCTGCTTGTGTTCCCTCTGTCGCTGTGTCTCTTTCTGTCAAATAAATAAATAAAATCTTAAAAAAAAAAGAAAGAAAGAAAGAAATCCATGCTGACATGGTGAACTTGAGCAGCAAGGGAGACATGCAGGTGGAGGTGTCTAATGTCTACTGGGAATGGGTCAGAGGCTCCCGAGAAAGGTCTGGGCTGGCAATCTAGACCTGGAAGCCCTTAGCCAGTCAGTGGAAGCTGCAGCCACGGCTACGTTCTCCCGCGAGCGACAATGGCGCTCCTCCCACCTTCATAACAGCCCAGAGAGGGAGGCGTTACTGTTGCCTTCTTCGTACACAGCAGCCATGGCACTGACAGAGCACGCAACTGAGCCAATGTCACCCAGCTCCACAATGGCAGGGTTGGCTTCGAACCCAGGAAGTCTGGCTCCAGGGTCCACGACTTGCTGTTTGTCTTATTAAAATGCCCGGGTCAGAGCAGGCTGCGACTCCGCCAGCCAGCCGAAAAGCTCCCCTGAGGCCACTTGGCAGAACCAGGGGAGGCGGGTGACTGAGCCGTGCGGGGCTGGGTGAGCAGGATGCTGTGCAATGATAGGAGGACCCCAAGGCCCCGCACCATCGCAACTCCACACACTAGGCTAGGAAAGAGCTCACACTGCACGCGCAGGGTGCGGGAAGCCTTGAAGGTGGATCGAACCGGAGGCTGAGAGGCCTTGGCCCCCAATCTCGATAGCTGCAGGCAGCAAACCGAAAGTGGACCCGCCTTGTTATATTTAAAGCTAAGCTCCAGAACTCCCAGGGAGTATGACAGCCCTGAGCCTCTTGCCAGCATTCTTTCTCCCACCTTCCTTGGGGGGCAAGCTGTACCGATTTAAGAAAGAAAGAAAGAAAGAAAAAAAAGCAACTTGCTCCCCCTGGGGCATTTTAATTGCCCAGATGAGCGACAGATGCAGCAGGGCAGGTGCCGAGCTAAGAGAGACATTTGCGGGAAGGGAAGGCAAAACGGCTACTCAGTGTTCCCACGCTCAAAGAAATCGGAGTTATTTACACTCACACTCTTAAGGCTGACACTACAGGGAAATGTTGTTAAACTTACCGAACAGTAAAAATATAGCCTGGATAATAAAACTGAAACCACCACCTAAGGCTTTTGGACAACCCAAAACAGAACCACTGTTGTGGGAGTATGAGACTTGCCCGAACACTGTTCAGAATGAAGATCCCTGCTCCCCTCTTCCACCCATATCCTATTTCATTCAAAAATGCTGAGGAAGAGGCCCAGGAATCTGCATTTCAACAGACACACCAGATGATCCTAACAGAGGGGACTACACCTGGACCACCCCTGAAAAACACAAGACAATTTTTTCCCCCCTGTCCCTTTGGAGGACTGGCCTCATTTTTCACTCCAGTACAAGAACCACGGGTATCCCCAAGTTTAGTCTTCGGACCTCTGTCTGCTTCAGTCTTTTCCTTTAAGAGAGACCATGTGCTCGTTGAAGAATTCCATCACAAATACCTGAGCACCTACCCACTAGGCTCCAGGCACTGTCTTCTCGCCCAGCCGGGATGTCGCGCTTCCAGCGACCACTCTCCTGAACTCCTCTGTCCAACCAGCTAACCCTGCCGGCTAGGTGACAGCCCCCAGCATCAGGGATTGGGTCTTATCACCACTGCAGAGCCAGGCTGCTGCCCAGCACATGGCAGGCATTTAACGAATATAGTGAGTACACGTGCCATCACAGCCTCAATCAGCCTCAACAGGTCTGCGACTAAATGTGCTGCATTTTCCTCCCCAAAACTTAGCTGCCCTTCCCAGCTTCCCTATGTCTCTGAAGAGAACCACCTTCCACTAAAATTGAGATTTGTCTTTTCCTCTCCCACCAGCGCCTGGAGACCCCGAGCCACTGCCCTGAGCAGGCCACGTGATGGCCCTGGGCGCTAAATCCCGAGCGTGGACTCAGGCAGGTGACCCTCGCTAAAGCAGGATGGCAGAGGAATCACTCTGCCCCCCAGTTTGACAAATGCACCTATGTACATAATCCTCACGTGACCCTGGGAGGGAGAGCCACTGTCATGGCCATTTGACCAATGAGGAAACGGAAGCACAGAGAGAAAGTGGGCTGCCCAAGGTCACAGAACTCACAAGAAATGGAAGTGGAATCCTAGCCCAGATCAAGGTGGCCCGCTCTGCACTCTTCACCACCATGCACGGTGCCTCTTGGGTATATGCTAACTGATGCTTGACAGCTGGAAGGTGTCAGGGGCTCCCGACCCCCAGCGAATCCTCCTGGGAGAGGGCCCCTCACGCTCACCTCCCTCAACCTTGTCTCCAGCTCCAGCAGCCGGTTCTTGTCACTGTGGTCTTGGTGGCTGATTTTCTCCAGCTGTTCCTCCAGCTTCCGGTTCTGGGCTTCCAGCTTCCCCGCCTGTGTCTCCAGGTAGAACTTCTGTTGCCTGAGCTCAGAAATCATCTCTTCCTGGGCCTTCCTGGTGGGGGTGGTCGGGGGAGCCAAGCGAAATCACAGTCTCGTCAGAGGTGAGCACGTTCCCTCAGCAGGCCAGACAGAAACAGAGTGACAGGTGCGTCTTGGTAAGTGGGCACGCTCATTCCCAGGTTGGCTCTGTCTTGACCGGGCCTCGTGTGCCTGATCCCAACATGGGGACCTGGGACGCGTTCAGTCCTCACTGTTCAGAGGCCCTTGTCTATGGGATTCAGGAAGGTCAAGGGGAATGCAAGAGACACTAACATTTCCCTCCTAAGGTGGACCCTTTTTTTGTTTTTGTTTTTGTTTTAGTCTGTCCAAGGGCAGAAAGGGGCCTCTGCAGAGAACAAACAGGAGTGCCCCACCCACCCCCGGAGGCAGGCCCTGGGGCAGAAAGAGCAGTGAGGGGAAGGAATGCTATTCCCTCCACTTCTCCATAGACCTTGCTCGCCTCCCCACCAGACTGCTCACAAGTATCAGAAACTGGAATGACTCAAAGACCAAAAAGCAGCCTACAGAGCTGGTTTAAGCGAAAACGGGAATGTTTTAGATCTCTGAGGAGAGGTGCCTAAGGGGGGGAGGGGGGATTCCCGGGGATGGTCATTCTTTGGGGGAGAAGGTTGAGATCCAAGCGCTCCTAGAACATGGGGAGTCCTTGCAAACCTCATGCCCTGGGCCTAACAACAGCAGCAGGACGGATGGCCGACGAGGCACCCACAAGATCACCTCTGGCTAATCACAGGAGGCATGTCTGGGGAACAAGGCCCGCAGCTCTCCAAAAGCTAACTATAAATAGCCCTCATTAGAGAGAGCAAAGCCCTCTGTCATCTGATGGCAATTTGAAGCATTTAAAACCCAGCTCCAAAGAAAGGGCATGGCAGAATGAGACCACTTAAGAGAGGGCAAAATTACACAGGTAGAACAGGGTCTGGAACAAACTGCAAAAGTAATTAAATCTGCTCCGGCTTCATCAGACAGAAGAACAAAGTTTCTGCCCCAGGAGAGAAGACCAATGTGTAATCATGCACGCAGGTGGAATGTGAATACTTACATGTTCCTCTGGGTAAAAAGACTGCTGTTTGCCGCAAGTTTGTTGGCTTCTGAGAGTTCCACAATCCTCTGTTCCAGGGATCTGATCTTGGAATCCATAGCATTGATCATCTGAAACACAAGCAGGGCCTCTGAAACCTCACACACGGACAGTTCTACCAGCGTGAGAGTAATGTGGGCCGTCGGGCCGGGGTCAAAGGCTCCCCTTGAAATGCAGGCTATCTGACCAGAGGTAACAGGGGAGCCAACTGCTCTGTACCCTCAGGGTCACAGGTCTTAGTGCCCAGACAATGGCACTCGGTGGTTTTCTCAGAGATTACATGTCCCCTAACCACACGGAAGGACCAACTTAGGAACCCAACATTCTGTGAGTAAGCAGGCCTCATTAAACCTGCGTCATCCGCATGTGGCCTGGGCCTGCCGGAGCCTCTAACTTGAACCTGCGAACTCGTGTTTCTCATCATTCATGGGGCTGTCATTTCACTACCGTCCTTGATTCTCTACATCAAAGTTCTCCCAACCTAATAAATCATAAGAATCGGGTAGGCAGCGGCGGGGGAAGGTGTTGATTAAAAAAACATATTTCCTAGCACCCTCCCTTAGAGATTCTGCGGTACAGAGTCCCCGTGGGGTCTGAGGCCATGGGTGGATGAACAAGCACCGCAGGTGAACCTTATGAGCAGAAAGCTTCTGAAACCCGTATATGGGTCAGAAAGGCAAGAAGCGAGGGCAGAGAAGGGAGGCCCGTAAGGAGGACATAGGGCCACTGGCCGTTTTGTCCGGTGGTGTTGTGAAGGGCCAAGTTGATGGCAGACCAGCAGGAGTCCTCAAAGAGGAGCATGAAAGGCAAAATTGGCCACCCTGAGCCCCCACCCCCACTGCTTTTAGGGGATGAAGGAGTTGCAGAGAGTTTGCTGTAGGCAACAAACTCCACGGGATTAAACAGGAAGAACAATTCATCGGCTGGAGTGCACTCTCCTTGGGTGTGTGATTCCGGGCACGGTTCACAAACCCTCCTTGGAAAACGGGCACTGTGATCCCTTATACCTACCGCCTTCTGCTCGCTGAGAATTTTGCCCTTCTCGTGGGCCTCCTCTTCATGTCTCTGCATCAGATTCTCCAGAGTCTCTTTATCGGCCAGGTCTTTCTTTATCTGGTTGTCCAACACCTATGAGAAACAAAACAAGTTAGTGTCCTGAGTAGCAAAGCTGAGCAGGGAAGACTAACCAGGAGCTCTTGGGAAAAGCGGGAGAAGCAGTAAAGAGGCCAAGAAAACTCTGGGGCAAAGAGAGGGCCTGGAAGTCTGCTTATGAGCCAGGATGAGGCTAAGAAGCCAAGCCTGACCATCCCATGGCAAGTAACCAGCGGACTTGACCTAAGAACTCATTTTTTTAAAATCAGCAACCAAAAAGAGGTACATATCCTCAGTGGAAGTAGACTCCAAATGAGAGAAAAAAGATCTGTCCCCAGATCTTACAATGTGTAGATGTTACCTGGGGACAACTTTATCGTCGTCAATGCACCAATTTTCAGAACACTGCTCGCTCTTAATCTGTACAGGATTAATCTAGGTAGCTCCAAGGCCATGTACGGAGGGACAGAAAGCTGAAGACCAAGGACGTCTGTGCGACCAAGGCTGACGTTCGGAAACAGACAGAGACAAGAGGATTCTGCCCACCAGTAAAGCAGATGGAGAGTCCGTAGTTTGAAAAGACAACATAAAAGAGTGAAAAAAAAAGTCCGTTTCCTCCTCCGTTCTTTCTTCTGATCTGGCTAGGAAACAAAACACACACACAAAAAAAGGCACTGGAAAGAGAAACCTTTTCCCAGGGGAAGAGAAATCATGTGTTCTCAGTGCCGAGAACACCACTGCAAGCACCTACTGTTCCCAAGGGGAAAAAAATAAAACAGTAATGGTGTCACCATCCACCAGCTTGATCTAATGTTCTGCAAGGCACACACGGCCCTACCAGTTGCCAAAACAACAAGTGAGAAAGAAAGGGGGGAAGAAAGGAAGACAACATCGTAACTTGCCCAAGCCTTTGAGAACAATCCTGTGTTTCTCATCACAGAGAATCCACTCTGCCTTTTCTGAATGACACCAACTGCTTCTGATACTGGGAAGAAGCTGAAAGAACTGGGGTCACAGAGGGGATTGAAATGTCTTTCCCACAATGTCTGTTGTGAAGGGACCTTCGTGGCTCATGGGGACATGAGCTCCTAAAAGGAGCCAGTCAGCAGGGAAGGGGTTCACATGACAGAGAGAGGAAAGAACAGATCTCAAAGAGGGCTTTAAACTAGAACCAACTGATGAAAAAAATAGATTGGGAGTCTGTAGAGAAGAACAAAAGGTGGAGGACAGGTCAAGGGAGGAGGGGAGAAGCTCAATAGGAGAAGTGGCCCATTCTTCTAGGATGTTGGGGTGTGATTCTAAAATTACAAACAAGAAAAGGACAGAATCTAGGGTATGACCATGATTATTACTAAAATGGCCTTCGAGAGGCTGGAACAGGAAGCACAAGGCAAGACAGGCTAAAAAGAAATGGTTTCATAAAGATTCCAGTAGGGAAGACAGAAGAAAACAGGTCTTGCCATAACATTCCCTAGGATCTATAAAACAAAGTTCTTTCCATCTAGAAGGCTATGGAGACCACACAGTACCTGGACCAGGTATGCTCCTCTGTATGGGGTGCTAAGGCAACGAAACACATTTTCAGGGTGACTCATGCTCAAAATAAAATCTCAACTTTGGGCCATGATGGAGACCAGTAAGAGGTAGAGAGGAACAGGCCTCTATCAAAAATGCACACACCTCGACTTTGATAGGGTTAAACTGGCAGAAGGACGAACAAGAAAAGAGATGCATGGGAGGGAAGCAAGGAACTTGAAATGAAAGAACCACTATAGACATTTACATCAATTTAAGACAGAACACAGCTTTCAGACAGGAAAGTCAATATACTCACCCAAATTACAGAATTAATTTTATGAATGGCTATTTTTATCGTGCAAAGGTGTCAGTGGACTACTGCATACATTCTCACAATGTTCTGGAAGTTGGTTTATTCCAAAGATAAAAATTGGGAAGTCAGTAAGAAATCAGATCAAAAGGATTGGTATATAAAGTTTAAAATACACTGAGTAGGGGGGGTCACACTACAACACTTTGAAGTCACTTCTGAGTTATTTTTCTGTATTTTCCTTCATGAAGAATAACCAAAAGTAACACCAGGGGTTAAAAAAACAAACAAAACAAACTAACAAAAAACGAAGGTACCAGGGTGAGGAGAGGATGATGATGCTGTGCTGTGTGGGCATATCCAGGTTTGGTTCTCCAAAAAAGGAACAGAAAATACCAACAAAATCCATTACCAGGATCATCACAAAAATTAAAAGCCTCCTTCACTGTCTGATTTGGAAGGGGAAGATAATATTTAGGATGTAATGACCAATGTCTGATTCTCAGGTACACAAGAACTGAGTTAAAGGCTTGGTACAAAGTCATAATGAAAATGGGACGTGATTTTATTTTATTTTTTTATTTATTTATTTTTTTTAAAGATTTTATTTATTTATTCATGAGAGCCAGAGAGGAGGGAGAGAGAGAGAGAGAGAGAGAGAGAGAGAGAGGGAGAGGGAGAAGCAGGCTCCCAAGGAGCAGGGAGCCCGATGCGGGACTCGATCTCAGGACCCCGGGATCACGACCTGAGCCGAAGGCAGACACCCAACCATCTGAGCCACCCAGGCGCCCTGGGACGTGATTTTAAAAGGAAATAGATAAGCCGGCATTTTTTCTGATCACAGAATTTATTAATAATAAGTGAACTGAAATAATTTCAATAATCGAAATAATAATTGAATTTAGTATTTTATACATTGGGCTAGATTATTTAGGCCAGCTCTTCTATGGGAAATGATTTAAAACACTAGATAAAATATAGAAAACATTGTCCCAAAAACTGGCAAGAGACTAAGAAATTAGAGACTAAAATTCTAAGTGACAGCAGAAACCTAGAGAGTTAAGATGGGCACAAAGCTGTTTTTAACTTGAGGCATTTGCTGAACCAAATAAACTTGAATTTCATTTTTAATAGCCTCAAAGGGTAAGAAGACAGAAAAGTCTAAGCCCAGGGCCACCCCCGAAGGCAGTACACATTTCCATTCAATGCCTCAAAGAATTCCCATTAATAATTTTCTAAGGAAAATGAGCAGCTGACCAAGCACACAAGAAGACAGGCACCGTGAGCAGCGCCTGGGTGGCTCAGTCAGTTATGCCTCTGCCTTTGGCCCAGGTCATGATCCCAGGGTCCTAGGATCGAGCCCTGCGTCAGGGTCCCTGCTCAGCGGAGAGCCCGCTTCTCCCTCTCCCTCTGCCTGCAGCTCTGCCTACTTGTGCTCTCTATCTCACTGTCAAATAAATAAATAAAACCTTATTAAAAAGAAGAAGAAGAAGAAGACAGGCACTGTGAAAAACAACAAAGAGAAACAACAGAGCAGAAACAGACCTTCAGATACATCAGATACTGGAATTATCAGATAAAGAACATAAAACAACTATGCTAATGTGTTTAAAGAAATAAAAGACAAGCTTAAAAATGAATGCAGGAAATAGAAAATTATTGTCTTAAATAATCTACTAAACTTGGGAAGGAGCCAAAGAAAATGTCTAGAAACCAAAAATACAGTAACTGAAATTTAAAACTCACTGGGAGGGTTTAACAGCAGATTGGACAGGTAAGAATTAGTAAAGTGGAAAATCAGCCAGAACTTACCCCCAATGTGCTTCGAGAGATAAAGAAATGGAAAATACGAAAAAAGTCACCCATGATGCCTACTCAAACCCTCAAAAAGGAAGAAGGAGAAGGGACAATATTTGAGATATAGTGACCAATAATTTTCCAGAATTGATAAAAGATACCAATATATTTTAAAGTCCTGTATATTTCGAGCAAGATAAATAATCAATCTGCATTTAGATACATCATAGTAAAACTATAGAAAATTAAAGACTGAGGAAAATTTTAAAAGCAGCCAAACAAAAAAGAGCAATGATTTTCAAAGAAAGCAACAGTTAGACTGACAGCTGACTTCTCATTAGCAATAATGAAAGTCAAAAGACAATGGAGTGATCCCTTCAAGGGGTGTCATAACAAATAACTGTCAACCCAAAATTCTATCCCCAGGCAGAACACCTTTGAAGAATGAGTGTGAAATAAAGACACTTTCAGACACACGGGACCGGGACCTTGTCACCAGCCGGTCTTCGTTAAGGAAAGTCCTCAGGGATATACTTTAAACAAAAGGAAAATGTTCAGGTCTGAGATGCAGGAAGGAAATTAAAGCAATGAATGGTGAGTCTGTGGCTAAATCTAAATCATCACGGACTGAATGACAGTGGGGCAAAAAATACATTAAAGACAGAACTGAGATTAATAATTAAAAAAATATATATATTTTTTTTAACATCCCCCACATGTGTTAACACCCCAAAACCTCCCACCATGGCCTGAGGACAGCATTTACCCCATACAGGCCTTGGGTCTAGCAAGAAGGAGCCCAAAGTGCCCAGGAAGAGAGAGAAGCTAGGTCATGCCAGAGGAAGAATGCTGGGGAAGATCAGAAAGTGTGTTTACTTTAATTTTTTCCTCGTAGTGCTGTTCTTTCTGTTTCAGGTGCACCTCTAGGTGCTGGGCTGAGACCTGGGCCTCACGGTGCTTCTCCTCCAGCTCCTGGACACAAAGGAAGAGACAGTCAGGTGTGCAAAGGGAAAGACATAGCTCAGGTGTGTTAGACATTCACGGGAAACATGACTTTGGCACTGGCACCACAAGCAACAGGCACATGTTCCTTCATGACTAGCCCTAAGGCTCTTGGGAAGGAAACCACCACCGATCCTTGGCCCTGGGGTTTCCGGGTCCAAGTATTCATACACATACACACACAGCTGGTGGGCTGGGATCAGAACACTGTCAGTGTGACAGGTCAAACAAAGGCAGCTCTTCATCTGTGCACAGAGAAAGGACAGTCACAAGGCAACATTTAAAATTTTAGTGCGGCACAAAGCCCCTGCCCACTGCCTTGAGCCTCAGGCCATTTTCACTGTCATAACAGCCTTAAATGAAAAGAAGTAATTTTAATTTCTTTTAAATTTCAAGTTATTTTATTATGATAAAAAAATATTGTGTGTTTTCCTGATTATCAACAGGATTGCTCACCCTAGCTATGGAAAGAAAGGTAATGTTACAATTCAAACACTTTGAGGTTTGAATGATTTTTGTTTTAACTGATTGGTGTGTAGAGAATGTGAGTATCTGGAGATGTTCATATGATACCATGTTTATAGGCTACAATGCTAATGGGAACAAAGTAGAACATAAAATACACTGATAATAATGACCCAAATATGTATCATATATATTAAAGATGGGAAGAGAATTTGGAGTGATATAAATAGTTCAGACTTAACATTCCCTTCATTCTAAGATTTCTGCTTTTAAACAAAATCATTATTCATTTGAAAATTATACCAATTCATTTGCCAATGTATTATAAACTGATCTTATAAAAGGCAGCATTCAATCCACTGAAACATTCTCTAAATGCAGATCTCTGCATCCACATTAATTCTTAGGAACCTGGACCCATTAGTTAATTACTAATATCAAAAGTCATTACCCCAAGTTTTCATCTCTTCACAGTTATGAAATTTTTCCTTAAAGTGGAAATAATTATGAGAATTTTGAAGAATGAGGAAATTATACAGGATATGTCCTTAAAATGGGGGGGGAATAGTTTCAGATTCACATGCACATAAAATGTTACTGATTAAGCTTTTGAAATTCTAAAGCCTACAAGCATTGACTTTGCTTTGGGGGCCAGTAAAGTGTTCAATTTTAAGACCAGGTGCATAAGATCTATTGCCGTCTAACAGATGTGATCTTGAAAAGTTGAATGTAAACAGGATTTTAATTAATAAAAACATACTTTAAGGGCTTTATGTGCACTAAAGGATCTCCTGCAATGACTTCTTTCATTAAAGCAAAAGACTTTGCTATAATGAGAACCTCAATTACCTGTTTTAAAAAGGTCTTATCAGAATAGCAAATATTTTAAAGCAAATGACATTTGGGGATCTGTTTCCAAGCATCATCATTATATGGCAGTAGTAAGGACCCCCTCTGCCCATGTCCTGGGTACTTCACAGGTTTCTTGAGCAAAAGGCACTTTACAATAAATAAAGTCACAACCACAGAGGTAGTCAGGCAGGTGGCAAGATACTCTCAAACAAAGAAATCTGTTTACTTTTTACGTTAGAAATCGCTTGACAATCATCTTGTCTGAGTTTCGGTCCTCCTAAGAGAGCACAGGAATGGAAAGCAGAGTCTAAAAATAGGTCAAAAACTCAGATCCCTGAACCTGAAGACTTGAAAACCCGATTTCTGGTCTATATGTGAATGGAAGTTTACAACACAGAATCCCAAGAAGGTAGAACTCTCTACTCCTACATTTTAATTGCAAGTGAATCTTTGGAAAAGCAGATATTCTAAATCTGACTTCTTGGTGGTTTGGCATTTTTTGTTGTTGTTGTCATTTTTGTAAAATGTTATCTTTTCTCTATGTATTGGATCAAACTCTTCAGTCCTATTATGCAAACACTGTTGTTCGCTGCTACATTTCCAGCTCCTAGAACAGTGCTTGGCACATAGTAGAAGCTCATTAAATATTTGTTGAATGAATGAATGAACACATCACCATTAAACAGAGAAACACTTTGCAACCACAGGAGACTTAACCACTTTGTTTGCACCAAGCAAGGGACAGCGGTGGTGGGATCTCGGTAGGATCTAATTTTACTCACGATAAAATTCACACACTTGACAATCGCCAAGAGAAACTTTGATGATGGAACAAGAGAACAGAAAGGGTAGACTAACAGTCACGTTTGCCTTTGTGTGCAGACGTATATACGAAGACTGTGTGTTAAAGCAAAACAGTTCAACCAATTTCTCTTTCACCTGTTCGCTCAAGAGCATCCATATCTTCATGAATATATGCAAACATAGACAGGTAAAGTTTTGAAGGGTTTGGGGGGTTTTTTTTGGTTTTGGTATTAACGATAGGCCTCTAAATTGGCCATTCTTGAGTTCATATAGTTGCAGGTGACCCACTTTCCAGAAGTGATGCAGACAGACACAGAGAGAGATGCACTGCCCTGCTCACTGCCTCGCCTCCTTATGGTGGAAAGGAACGGTCGACCACTCCAGGGTCTCTCCTAAGGGCAGAGTGGAGGGGGCTATGAACAGATTCCGTGTCAACGCTAAGACTCCCAAACGTGGCACACATTCCTGGCTTTGGGACTGAGATCCAAGGACAGTCCTTTAAAAGTTCACCTGCCTGGGACAAAACCTCACCACGTCTGCAAGTAGCACCCGAGCCGGCCTTCCTTGATGAAGTTAATTTGGTCACCAGAGCCAAAAACAGAATCATGATGGTTTACAAACCTAAAAAAAAGACCTGCTACATCTAAGGAAATTAAGGGGGAAAAATAATACTAATAACCAACTGTAGCAGAGAGAGTGAGTGGGTGAACGCAGATCTATGACAAATACTACTCTGCGAAAAACAACCCTGCATGACTAATTTCTTTCTTCTCCAAAAGCACAAATCTGGGTTTTGGTTTTAAGGGTCTAAATCCCCACTGTTTTGCCAATTGCCATTGCAAAGTTAACAGCCACACAAAACTCTGCTGACAGAAGTACGTCAGTGCTCCTGTAAAAACGCATCGGAAACGACAGAGGATGCACGTTCATGTTTTAAAATGTCAGGCGGTAGCAAACAGAGCGGAAAAAATAATATTTACGGATCTGTTACCGGTGCCGAGACGTCCAACATTTGGTTATTTGTACTAGCCTAGCATGGGGGCAGACACTGAAGCCACTTCTCTCCATTCGCCTACTCGGTGACACCTCCCCTGGGTGACGGCGTTCCGCTCCTCTTTTCACCCCCTTCCCTCTGCGACCTCTAACCTGTTGTCTTTTTAACTTTTCAGCCTTTGTTCCTGCTCACCAGAATTTTATCAGCCATCTGCTGGATCTGTTGGGATTTTGTCTGGATGTCATCCTTCAGTCTGTTTTCTCTACGCTCCATGGTCTCTAGCCTCTTTACCTTGTTCTCCAGAGAATGGCGGCGTTCCTGTAGATCAGGAATCAATCAGAGAGTTTTAATGGAGTAACTGCTACGGGCATAGCGCCTGCACCGAGGGAGAGCGCCCTCGAGAAGCATACGCGCAAGGCAGGAAGAGAAGCCTCAGGCACCCGAAGCAACGGTGAGGAAAAGAAGATTCTAGAATCCAAGTACTTGGTTGTGTTGGGTTATAAGAGTGCATTCATTCATTCAAATATTTACCAAGCACCTACTATCTGCAAAGTATCACACTAGGCATCACGGAAAATATGGAGAGGAAGCCGACAGAATTCCTGCCCTTGGAAAAGATAAGACAAACACAAAGAAACATAATATAGGTTAAGACGGGGAGGCTGCAGGCAGGAGAGAGGCCTTTTCACTGAACGAGCTCAGGGGAGAAGTCACAGAGATGCGAGCTTTGGACGGTGCTGGGATACCCAGGCTGGAGTGGGGAGAGCGGGAGGCGAGGGTGGAGGGCCCTTCAGATGAAGGCAGATGCATTAGCACAAATATGGAGGGGCGAGGGAGCCGGTGAGGGCCCAGGTGAAGCCTCCAGCAGCTAGAGCATAAGATGCGTTAGGGGACAGAGTAGGAGAAAAGGTAGAAGGGAGTACTAGTGAGTCGAACGGCTCAGAGTTTCATGTACCAGGTTCAGGGGTGCACGTAGGACACAGGGAAGCTTTGAAAGCTCCGGGATGGGCCAGGGGGTGCTGATGAGCCTTGTGCTGAGGCCCGTGAGTCTTACATTGAATGAGCCAATGGGGAGGAAGGGAAGACGAAAGTGGAGGGCCCGGAAATGACTAAATGTGCTCAACTAAGGGGAAGAAGGCCTGGACCGTGAGGAGGCCCCCAGAAATGGCAAGCAGGGGTGAACGGGGGAGACAGCGGGGCTGAATTTATAGGACTGAGCGGCTCACTGAATGGCAGGGAGCGAGGAGAACAGACGACGTCAAGGTTTCAAGCCTGGGGTGACCAGATGAGTGATGGTGGCCCTGACTGGCATGAGGAGATTAAGAAGGTAGCCCCGCTCATGAGGGAAGATACAGAGTTCATTCTAGATGTGATGCACCAGCCGGGACCGGGGCAGGGGAAAGCAGAGAGCCTGGGGGGGGGGGGGGCGTAAATCAACTACGATCTATTTATTCTCTGGGACAATCACCAAGGCGGCGGGGGAGGTGGAGGGGAGTAAGGGGGAAGTATTACTTTTGATTCTCCGTTCTTCAGTACTGTTCAAGTTTTTTACAACAAGAAGACACTCATGTGTTTCCTGTATAGTTATATCAAATATTTCAGCAACAACAACAACAACAAAGAATTCGAGGGAGAGAAGAGGCCCAAAATACAGGCCCCGGGGCGGGCGGGCGGACATCAACACACAAGTAACAGCTGAAACCTTGAAAGGTAACGTTATTAACTCTGTGGGGAGGAGGCAAGGAAAAACAGGGGTGCGGAGAGAAGAAAAAGAGAAACTGAGGGAGAGCGTTGCAGTTCATCTACTGAAACGTAAATCTTCCCAGGTTCGTGAGGCCAGAGGAAAAGGAACAGAAAGGCAACGAACGCTCTTATCAGGACATCTTTCTACTTGAAGCTGCTGTGACCAGTCTTTTCTTCCCCTTTGGGGAAAACATTGCCAAGCCTCTCAGGTTTCAAAGGGATTGGCAGAAGGGCCAGTGGTTCTGCAGTGTCTTCTCCTTGGCACGGCCCAAAGCTGGTCGGCTGCTCATGGGCAGCCACGCCGGGACCCGGGCTCAGTCCACCGCGGGCTGAGGACCCCTGCTCACCTCGGCCTCCACCAGCTTCTTTTTTATGCCTTCAGAGGAGTCCTCCCGGTTCTGCAGCTTCTCCAGCTCACGTTCGGCTCGCTCCTTTGCCTGGCGGATATTCTGCAGCAGTTCAGTGGCCTCTGTGCTGGCTTTTACAGCCTACCCGGGGAGAAGGTACAGGAGACAGATGGCCAAAGTCATTCACATAAAAAGATAGTGACGGTCTCCTCAACGGGGAAAAGTCAGGCAATACTAAGTATATACGTACCAGATCCATTTTCAAAACCCATTAACATTCACTTTATTCTGCATTTCCTCTCCACTAAAGTGCACTTATATATATATTTTAACATCACTGAATTTGGAATGCGTCTTACAGTTAAAACGGACAGCAATTTTTCCTTTTCGGGGGTGCACAGATACATTGTATCTGATAATCATTAGTATCTTAGATTCAATGCAACATAGCAAATGCAAACAGAAAGGCCTAGCAGTACTTACCTACCCAGGTGTGAATGTGTTTACCCTCAGTTTCTTCTTATTTAATTATCTCATTTGTTCATTTTCCTACAGGGAATCTGTACTACTTTTATTTAAAAAAGGATAAAAACTGTAAGCTTTTCTTCAACCTATCAAAGCCTACAACAACCATAGAGTTCCCCAGTAATTCACAAATCCGTGCTTAAAAAGAAAAAAAAAACAGCTATACCTTTTGAAGTTAATTTTCACTTGGGTCTTAACTACACTGCAACTCATAGCATCATAGCAAAGATCTGAGGGTTAGAAACCAACAATGTCACACTTATTTGCTTTGAATTACAATTTTTAAGAAGTCAAAACTTCAAGAAAACTTCATCTTTGAGACCAGCACTGTCCAACACGGGAGCCACTGGCCACAGGTGGCCCTTGAGCACTTGCAATGTGGCTGGTGTGGCTGGAAAAGTAATTTTTAATGTAACTTATGTTTGATTCATTTAAAAACTGAAACATTGTAAATGTTTTACTACTGATACACGCTGCAATATTTTGGCTCTATCAGGATTAAATAAACTGTATCATTCAAATAACTTCACCTGTTTCTTTTTGCCTGTTTAAGGTGGCTACTAGAAGATTTAAAATTACACCAGTAGCTGACACTTGTGGCTTGCATCATACTTCCGCTGGAGAACACAGTTCTAGATAGAAACGTGAATCCTCAGACATAGGTCTAGCTGAAAGAGGGCGGTAGAGGCTTTCATTAGTGATCTCCAGGATCGGTGAGACGGGAACGGATGAATGGATGAACAAAATGTGGTCTATCTACACAATGGAATATCACGCAGTCTTTAAAAAGAAGGAAACCCTGTCACACGCTACAACATGGATGAACCTCAAGGACATTACGCTAAACAAAGTAAGCCAGTCATGAAAGAACAAATATTTTATGATGCTACTCATTTGAAGTCTCTAAAGTAGTCCAAATCACAGAAACAGAACGTAGAAAGGTGGTTTACCAAGGGCTAGGGGGAGGAAGGAAGGAAAATTAGCAGGTCAAGAGTTTCAGTTTTGCCAGATGAAAAAGTTCTAGAGATCCACTGCGCAGAGATGTGAGTATACTTAACACTACCGAACTCTCTACTTAAAATGCTTAAGATGGTAGGGGTGCCTGGGCGGCTCAGTCGCTTAAGCAGCCGACTCTTGGTTTCAGCTCAGATCACAATCTCACGGGTTGTGAGATCAAGCCCCGAGTCAGGCTCCACGCTCAGCAGGAGTCTGCTTAAAGATTCTCTCCCTCTGCCCCTCCCCCAACTTGCACACACAGCACAGATGCACACACTCTTTCTTTCTCAAATAAATAAATCTTTTTTAAAAAAATGGTTAAGATGGAGGGCGCCTGGGTGGCTCAGTCGTTAGGCGTCTGCCTTCGGTTCAGGTCATGATCCCAGGGTCCTGGGATCGAGTCCCGCATCGGGCTCCCTGCTCCGCAGGAAGCCTGCTTCTCCCTCTCCCACTCCCCCTGCTTGTGTTCCCTCTCTCACTGTCTCTCTCTCTGTCAAATAAATAAATAAAATCTTTTTAAAAAATAATAAAATAAAATAAAAATGGTTAAGATGGTAAATTTAATGTTATGCGTTTTTCACCGCAACTTTAAAAAAACAACAACAAAAAAAGAGTAAATGAGAAGAGGCTCCATTAAACCAGGCCAGGAAACACATGGACATTCTTGCTGTGATGGGCATGTCTCATAACCACATCCATTCTGGACCATGCATTAGGATTTCCAGCGTTCAGCCAAGGGGAGGGTCATTAGACCAACTGCACAGGATGCTATAAACCAAACCCACCCCCTCCCCCACCCAGAGATGACTCCCCAGCTCCCCCAGTCTTCCAATGGGCAGGAAGGCTGCCCACGGTTTCTCACTGAAAGCCGTCTGGGTCATGAACAACCCCTGCTCCTCTTACAAATGTGCAAAACGGGGAGCCTGGCCCCCTGAAGGGAAAGAAGCTGGCCTCCTGGCCTCTTGGGTTCCTGTCATAGTATAATTAGAACTTTTACTTGAGAGTCTCACGCAGCTTGAGTTTTTAAAAATAAACACTGCTGACATGTCTCAAAAGGAAAAACTATCTTCAGAACTCTGATATTTTCAGGTAATAGCTCACTCGCCCTTCATTTTCCTCGGTGCTGGCTGACTAATTCTGTCTCTTTCATCTTCTGGGTTCCAGGACAAGGCAAAGAAAAGTATTTGGAAATGAAGGGTAAGTTCCCAAAAAAAATCACCTCGGGCTTACCTTTTCCAGCTTCTCTTGGAGCTCCTGAATTTTGAGCTGTTGCTCAGCATTGATCTATAATTAAAATCCCAGGAAATAAAGCAAAACGTAAATTGGCATGAATGTCTTGCTACATTTAGTGCGGTGCTATTGTCTGAAGGTTTCTGTGGGGTCTTTTTGTTCTGTTTTCCAGCCCCTACTAATGGAGAGGAAGAACAGAGGCCTATCAGATAAGTCTTTGAATGTCCCAATGAAAACCTCCATGCTACTTCCCTAGAACCAGCAACACGCAAATGGCAAGAGAATCATAGTCACCCAGTGCCTTAAGACTACAGAAGTTTTCACCTATGTTTTACTAGGTGTCTTGGTTTGTATGTTACTGTGATCAGGCATGATAAAAAATGAGGTGTCCTTTATCCCCTTTACAACCACAGCTAAAGCTAAATGTGGTTGCCCAGAGATTGACCATCAAAATAAACCTGGAATAGAGTTCTCTATCCACTGCAAGAGAATTCTTAACCAATGACTAGCCATGGAGAATAACATTTAAAAGATTATCAGGGCACCTGGGTGGCTCAGTAAGTTGAGTGTCCAACTCTTGATTTTGGCTCGTGATCTCAGGGTTATGAGATCGAGCCCTGTGCTGGGCTCCACAATCAGTGTGTCTGCCTGTCCCTCCCCCTCTGCTCCTCTGCCCCACCCCACCCCACCCCGACATGTGTGAGCTCTCTCTCTCAAATAAATAAAATCTTAAAAAAAATTTTTACAGATTATCTACCAAAAATAGCAATACCAATAATGGAAAATACCTTCTCCAGTTTGGAATATTCTCCCACTTCAGGTTTCCCTTGATCCTTAGCCTGTAAGTTAAGAGATAAAACATATTGGAAAATCTCAAGCACCTAAAAGTCTTACAGAGACTACCATACTTTCTTGGTCTCTACGGCCAGATGATGATGATGATGATGATGATGATGATAACTAGGTTATCTTCTATAAAAAAAAGACCAGGAGCTTGGCAGAGTATTCCATTATTCCCCAAAAATACACTCACGAAGCTAGTATTCCCTTTATTCTTACTAAGATCATCTAGGAGTCTACCCCAAAAACAGCCTTCTGGCAGGTGGCTGGCTACCTTCATTAGTTTATGCTGACATTCTGTCGCTTTCCGCTTGAACTCTTCAGCAGCGAGCCGAGACTCTCTCAACTCCGATTCGTAGAGATCACTCCGTCTCCTTGCCGAAACAAGGTCCTCTTCTAACTGATTCATCATCAACCTCATTTCTTCCACTTGAGCCTGGTACTCCTAAAGGGCAGGCAAGGGAAGAAAGGTAAACTTTAGAACCCCTAAAAGGAAAGACAGGCATTGAAGACAGGAGACCATGGACCACGGAGGGAAGACGCACGTTGGAAGACAGATTGGCAGGGAACAGTCCTAGAGAAAAGATGGATCAAAATGGGCAGAAGGGAGAGGTGTAGGGAGGGCGAGGAGGGAGATAAGAATATTAAGTCTTTATCTTAATGTAGGTAGGGGCACCTGGTTGGTTCAGTCGGTTGAGTGTCCAACTCTTGGTTTCAGCTCAGGTTATCATCTCAGGGTTGTGAGATCAAGCCTCGAGTCGGGCTCCACACTCAGCATGGAGTCTGCTTGGGATTCTCTCCCTTTCTCTCCCTCACCCTCTACCCCTCCCCTCACGTGCTCTCTCGCTCTCTCTCTCTCAAATAAAAATCTTTAAACTGTTTTAATGTAGATCATGTATCATTAGTAACACCATTTGGAACGTGAGTGCCTATATAAGATCCTTTGAGCAAATAATACCACACAAGTAGCACAGAACCTCAAGGCATTTGCGACACTGGAGAGCTGAAAGGAATGTTCTTTAAACAACCAGGATAAACTGCTTACATGTAGCTTTCTTCCAAGGGTAATCATTTATATAGATTTGTCCTTTAGAAGTCATGTGCTCCTAACACAATTAGATATGGTACTAGTTTTAAAATTAACCTTTGAGACGGCACAAGGGGGTAATTGGAAATCTCGGTAGAAAGAATCTTGGAAGGTGAAACTCATCATGTCAGTTTCTCACCATTAATTTCTCTGGCCCAAAACTGAATGATGAACTTAACATTGCTCTTGAAATGCAAGTCACCCTGAGATTTGGAAGAGTCAGAAACACTGGCTCTAGTCAAAATAACTTGTGAGCAAAACTCCGGAGAAAGAATTATCTTGTTCCTTCGAGCAAACCTTTAAAGTGATCCAAACAGCCTGACCTTTTCCAAAATGAATTTCTAAAATCAAAACAGAACATTTGAATCGGTTTTTCAAAATTGGATTTACCAGGAGAAATGGGCAATGATTTTGAAAACTTTGGGGCAAAGTATAAAAATATTCTGTCAGCAATATCAAAGCTTATGCATATAGGGATTATGAATGAGCATGTATCCAATCCAAGGTGACTTAGGGTGGGGGGAGGATATAAAGTGAAAAGAACAAGGAATTGAATCAAGACCATCTTTGATATTCACAATATACAGTGAACATCTCTAAGATCTGTTCTCCCAGGAAATCATTAAAGAGGTATCAATTAAGCAAGGACATGTTTTTAATCAGTAAAAACAATAATTGATTTTTTTTTTAAATAACAGGGTATAAAGCAAACCTTTCATCCCATTGTAGCAGGCAATTCCCCCAGATGCGCACTAAAGCAGAGATGATGTTTTTAAGAAAACTGGATAGTTTTCATGCAAGCACACCTCTCTATATAATTGGGAAGGGAAAATAATGAGCCCAGAGTGGAGCACAGTCTCATTTCACTTCGCCCACCCCTAAACATACTATTATTGAAGGTCAGTCCCAGAAGTCATGGGGCACCAGGCTGTCTGGGGGGTGCACACAAAGTGGCTGATGCTGGGTTACAGAACCAAAGGTCTTCACAACCCGCTCACAATTATCTGAACTGAGAGAGCGGAACATGAGCCAGATTATGTGAAATGATACTTCCTCGCATCCTTTACTTTCTAGCCCCCTTGGCCAGGGTTGCTTTATGACTTTGGCGGTTCTGGGCACTGTGCCTCCCTGGAGCTCCTCCTTCATTAAAAAAAAAAAAATGCATGAAAAATTATATTTTATGGGGTCCCTGGGTGGCTCAGTCAGTTAAGCGTCTGCCTTCGGCTCAGGTCATGATCTCAGGGTCCTGTGATCGGTTCCCTGCTCAGTGGGGAGTCTGCTTCTCCCTCTGCCCCTCCCCACTGCTCATGCTAGTGCTCTCTCTCTCAAATAAATAAAATCTTTAAAAATATATATATTTTACCATGGCATTCATATAGAGACAAAAACATTAGTATTATCTACGAAAACAGTTTCTTTGACCTAAAAGCTCAATTTTTTTCCTCTGATTTAAAGTAAACATTTTATGGGTCCCTAAAAGTACTGCTGGCCCTGCTCACAGGCACAAACACCAAGCTCTAGAGGAACCAAAGAGCTGAGAGAAAATCTTGGGCATCTTTTATCCTCAAGCTCCTTTTTCTGTCTGGAACTTCTGTCGGCAAGAAGCGTTAAGTAATTTTTGTGTTTCGTCAAGAGCAAGGACAGAGCGTTGTTCCTTCCCTTCAACATTTCTCTTTCCTGAGCTGCCGGTGCTCAGGGGGAGGAAGGCAAGAACCAGGCAACATCTCCATCAGGAATCTGAGCTCTTGGGGTACCCAGCTTGCTACAAGCATCAAAAGGATTTCTCCCTCATCTGTTGAGCTGCTGTTATTATGCTGCCTCCTTCAAGGAAATCCTACAAATCCAACAGCTAACCAAATCCCTGCTTCAGGAAAAATCTGAGAGAAGATAATCAGGTCTGTTTCCAAGGAGAGCGGAGAGACGGCGATTGTACCTTGGCATGGGATGGATTGTCAGTCAGTGTTGAGTGGGATCAAGAGAGGGAACCGTGGACAACTTTCAAGGTCTGCCCTAAAGTCTTCTGAATGGAGCCTCAGAGTTTTGTGGAAAGAAAGTAGCAGACATATACCTATTCAATCAGAAATCCCAAAACACCAGTGCCTTCTGTGTTACTCAAACTTCCGTTCCCCTTCCTGAGGAAGGGGCGAGGGGCATCAGCAATCTCTAGTAATGGTACATGAATCGAGCTATCATGTGAGACTCTTAGGTGTTTTTATTGTAAACCAAATGCAAACACTCTATAGGGGGTGGCTAAGCAGAAGCAAAATGTTTAGAAAATTTAAAAATGAATAGCTGTACAGAAATTAGCTTTTGAGAGAAAAAGTGCAGGGAATAAATGCCAAATCTGGGAGGAATCGACAAGCTGCAAACCAAACACTAGGAGTCCACTGAGAAGAAGGAAATGCTTTTTCCTGGATTGCAGACATCCTGTTCTCCCAAAATTCACTAAATGCCAATTTAATAAATCCATCTTCCGATGAGAAAGAAAATCTGAAGCTGAGAAGTTTTCTGCCCCCCAGTGAAACTTTTAGCAGGCATTAAATCTAAAACTCCACATGTATGCCAACTGTGGTATGAATCATCAAAGACATTTCTTTGAACTCAACCATCAGCATGTACCTTTTCAAAATGTCCTGATAATTCAGTTTCTATGGAAGTCATGGCCACCAGCTGCTCCCTCTGGTGGCCAAATGCGGCTTTCATTTCCCCCAGGATGTCACCAAAAGCAAATCTCCAAAACACATTGAACTAATGGGAGAAAAAGAATCCTGTCCCTTGAAACTTTTATGTTGATAAAAGGCACAATGAGTCAACTGTCAGAGCAGATTTTTCAAACTCTACCTTCAAAATCTCTAAGATTAGTATCGGTTTTCAGAACAGATTGCCAACATTACCTTTGCAGGTTTATTTATAACATCTTGATCAAGCAAGAGGATATTAACTAATCACTTTAAAATAGTAAGGTGATACAGAGATTGTGCAACAAAAACCCCAAAACATTCATTTTTTCTTTAAAGAAAAGCTAATGGATCAATGATTTGCAGGAGCCTGTTGCATTACCACCCGGATGGCTAAGTCTGTGCTATCCAGAGACAAAAATGTTCATTCCCATCACTGCTTCCATTAGATTTTCTGAAATGAATGAGAGTTGCCTGGCAGCTGATAATTCAGCTCTCCCAATCGCTCACTGCCATCTCTTCATTAAAGTTTCTATTTACAGTTTCTCGAAAGGACCGAAAAATCCATGCTAAAAAGGAAACAATGAAGCAAAATAAAAATGAACCATCTAGAAAGAAAACCCTTTTAGAAAGGAAAAAAAAGAAAGAGAGTAAGTAGGCTTTTTAAACATCTTGATTCTCTTTTCTGAACACTCAGGGGATGGCCTTCTGCACTCAGATTTCCCGGGTTAATTCTGACGTGGCCTTCACTGCTCAAGCTCTTCTTCTTTATCTTTATACAAGTAAAACTATGAAATTGGGGCGCCTGGGTGGCTCAGTTGGTTAAGCCTCTGCTTTCGGCTCAGGTCATGATCCCAGGGTCCTGGGACCGAGCCCCGCATCGAATCGAGCTCCCTGCTCCTCAGGGAGCCTGCTTCTCCCTCTCCCTCTGTTCCTCTCCTCCTTTGTGCTCTCGCTCTCTCTCTCTCTCAAATAAATAAATAAAATCTTAAAAAAAAAAAAAAGAAAGAAAAATATCCTGGCTTCTCTCAAAAACTTAAAGTATATCTGAAAACCTATAAAAATATTTTTTTGATGGTCTAAAGCAGAGATTGGCAAACTTTTTCTGTAAAAAGCTAGATACCAAGAAATTTCTGCTTTGTAGGCCATATGGTCTTTGTCACAACTACCCACCCCTGCCACCGTAGCATGACAAGCAGCCATGGACACTACATAAATGAATGGGCATGGCTGTGTTCCAATAAAACTTTATTTATGGATGCTGGAATTTGAATTCCATACAATTTTCACATGTCATAAAATACTCTTCTTCATTTTTTTTTCCCCAACCAGTTAAAAATGCAAAAGCCATTCTTAGCTCATGGCCATGGAAAACAGGTGGTGAGCCAGATTCGCCCCACGGGCCACAGTTTGGCCACTTTTGTTCTAAACCTACACCTTTCAGTGAAAAGAGTAGCCAGGATGGGCTGCAGACTTCAAAAGGAGCTAGAACAAGCGCTCCACCATTTATACAAATCATGGAGAATAAACAGTTTCCAAATGACCTACATACCTCTCTCTCTCTCTCTCTCTCCCCCTACCCCCCTTCCCTCTCTCTGCCCCTCCTGAAACACACCTCCCCTGAAATTAGAGGTCTAGGTACCGGACCTGAGCAGCACTCATACCTGCTCTTTGATTTCCTGGAGCTTCCGGCTCTGCTCTCTGATATCATGGAGAAGCTGCAGTGCTTTGTCATCCTCCTGGGACACCTCCATCCGTGCTTGCTCCAAACTTCGCTTTAAGCTCTGAGGAAAGCAAAAATTTTAATAGGGATGCCCTGTGGTTCCTGCTCTGTTTGGAAAGATTCATTAAAGGGAGCTTGCAAGCTGCTTCGCAGACACCAAGATGGTTTCGGGTGACGGAGCAAAGTTGACAACTTCCAGTTGGTTGCTGGCTCCGGTTTTTTTCATCCTGTAAAACCCCTCGGTTCAAGAAACATCATCTCAACCGTGTGTCCTCACGGGTCCGGCCTGAAACTGCAAACTGGCATCACAAGCTGCCTTTTACCGCTGTCTACCTGTCCTGTCAGATACTTACTCGTGTGTTTGGGACTGAAAACCAACAAGATCCCTTAGCCTTTTGTTAACTGCCACTGGGATGGCTAGGAAGTCTGTTCTGGAATATCGGATATTAGAGGGCTCTCCAGGATAGATCCCTCTTTCAAAGTAGCAATGACTTCCTTCTTGCCTAATTGCCACTTAAGACCCTAAGGGGTCTAATTCCACCTCCTGGCTTACGTTTCCTGGACACCTTTCATCCATAAGGTTCCCTCAATGCTTCAGTGGCACTGAAATACAGATCTGAAATACATATCTGAATAACTTCACCCACCACTGAAAGGCAGCCAAATCTGGAATGGAAACATAGCAGTTATTCTTAATCAGCCACGTTCTATAGATTTCCTCTCCCTTGTGAAAAAAAAACTTGAAAAATGTGTGATTCAACTTCTGAAGACTGTTTAATTGGCCACATTAAAAAAAACACCTGAATGAAAAATTTAACGAGACAATGGAGAAGACAGTCTACTCTTGTGAAGGAAAGGAAAAAAAAAAAAAGTCACATGGTAAATAATGACAGAGGGCCTGGGATTTTTGTTTTGTTTTGTTTTTACAGGCTGAGTTTTCTCGTTGCTGCACTGGTTCTAAGCAATGGAAAACAGATCTCAGATTCAAAATACATGTTCCTGTGCTCATTTAGGAGTTGGGCTCTCGAGGCTGCTGGTGGTGGAAGGGATATAGACCAGACAGGCTGGGATGGGAGGCGCTCAGAGCCTTGGCCGCTCGCCGCAGCAATGACAAGGCCCGTGTCCAGGCTCCACAGCCTACCAGGACTCCTGGAGCCCAGTCCTCACAGTTCTGGGACCTCCCACCTGGCTCAGGCTACCCTGCCAATCACACAGCTTGCCTTGGAACACTCCCTCTCTCTCTCTCTCTCTCTCTCTCTCTACGCTCTGCCATAGGCTGTGATGTGCCTCATGAAGCCGTCATGAAACAGGATGAGACACACACAACAGGAAGTGCCGCCTCCGAGGGAAGGGGACTTTGGGGAAGGCTCACACTGCATTCTGTGATGTAGGTAGCAAGGTCCTGCTCCAGGAGGGATCTCTGAGTCTCAGAGGCCTTCAGCTCCACCTCCTTCTGACTAAGCACAGCCTCCACCTCTGACACTCTCCGATGTAACCGGGTCATTTCCTGCTCCATCTGAAACAGACACATCGACAGGTTAAAAGGGCCCATGGAGGTTCGTTCGGAGCAATCAAATCTCAAGCAGCCTCCGAAACCACCTGGGCTGGCACTAATTCGCCAAAGGTTGGGAAGGAAATACCATTGCTTCTTCGCCCGGGAGTGCACAGTTCTTCGTAAGGACAGTCACCAATGCTAAGTCACTCCTCTCATCCAAGACTCGGTTCACACTTGGTCACTTCTCTAGCCCCGTGAGCAAGGAAGCCACAATCACCATTTTTCACCTGTACGCTTTTTGGGTTTAGTTTGGTTTTTGGCACACGTCACTTTAATTTTATCCCAAATCCATCTTGATCCCCCCCATCTCCTTGCAAAGATCTAGAGGACCAATCCAGGACAGGGCAAGGAGATATGTATTCGTCTGCACTCTTAGAGGAGTCCCAGGCAAGGAGTGGGTCTTAGGAGCTTCCAGAGAGCTGCCCCTGGGCAGGAACAGTGAGCGTTAAGAGACGTTGAGCATAGTCAACACAGTGGCCGCAGTTACATAAGCAGGAGGCTTAAAGGACTAAGAAGAGAGACTTCGCATCACTCAAAGCAGATGGGATGCATCTCGGCCACAGGTGAGGACCCACGCCACCTGCCGGAAGAAGCAGACATCTGGCTGGGTCATGCTGAGGAACGGGCCGTTTTTAAATCCAGGGCCTCCTCTGGTTAAGATTTAAAGGATTTACAGCAACGTCAAGGCCCGAATTCATCTCCCTCTGAGCTGCTGGAGGCGAGACTTCAGCGAGGGAGGGAGCGCCTCGCCCGCTCGGTATGGATCAGGTGGCTCAGCGCCAGCAGCGGCCCCGGGCGGATCCCTTGGCATAGACTGACGGGAGGATCCTGGAGCAAGGAGGGAGGCCGGCTGCGGAAATAAATACCTTGTGACACTTGTCCTGGGAGTCTTGCAGCTCTTTGCTTTTGATGAGAAGTTTCTTTTCCATGGAGCTAGTCTTGGCAGGGGAGTCCAGACTTGACACGACAGACCTAGATAAGAAGGAAGCCAGCGTCAAGGTGGCCAGCAGGTGGGTCTGAAAAGCGGCTTTCACAACCCATGGCAGAGATAACGGACCTGCCAGAGTTCTGTGGCCGTTCACAGAGCTGGCTCAAGAAGCTTCTGATGACATCAAGGCCATGAGGCAGAGAGGTGGACAGAAGCAAGAACTCTGGCAGACCTGGGTGTAAACTCAGTCGCTGTTGACCTGAGGCAACAATTCAGCCTCTCTGGGCCCTGGTTGCCATATCTGTGAGGTGGAATGATGAAGGGACGTCCCACAGAGGGGAGCATGAGCATTAAATGCACGGCACTGTGCCTACACGGCTTCTTTCACTTACTCACGGAACAGATACGCACTGGGCACCTGCTCTGTTCCAGGTACTGGAACAGCTATGAACAAGACAGACAGGGCCCCCCCACTCCCAGAGCTGACTTCCGCAGATGGCAGACAGAATGCATCACTGAGACACACGAACAAAAAGTTACAGATGATGACAAAGAAGGAAACAGGGTGCCATGGTGTGAGAGAGGGAAATGGGTCAGGGGCTTGGTCTAAGCAAGGGTGACCAGGACGGGCCTCTCTGAGCGGTGACCTGAAGGATGAGAAGGTGCTGGCCATCCAAAGCTCTGGAAGGAAGCAAACCCCACGGAAGGGGAATAAGATGCAAAGGCCCTGAGGCAAGAGTGAGCTAACAGAGCAAGTGCCTAACAAACATCATTAGTGACAATACTGATCAAATTACTGGTTCTTCCAGCCCCAAGCTAGCCAGTTTGGTTCTGTTTCCCTTTTATAAAAACAGCTAACGCAGGCGCCTGGGTGGCTCAGTTGGTTAAGTGTTTGCCATCAGCTCAGGTCATGATCCCAGGGTCCTGGGATGGAGCCCGGCATCGGGCTCCCTGCTCCGCGGGGAGTTCTGCTTCTTCCTCTCCCTCTGCTCCTCCCCCCAACTCGTGTTCTTGCTCGCTCTGCTCTCTCTCTCACTTAAATAAAAAATCTTTTTTTTTTTTAAGATTTTATTTATTTATGTGAGAGAGAGAGAGATCACAAGCAGGGGGGAGGAGCAGAGGGAGAACCTGAGCTGAAGGCAGACCCCTAACCAACTGAGCCATCCAGGCACCCCTCAAATAAAAAATCTTAAAAAAAAAAAAAAAAGACCAAAAAAAAATCCAGCTAATGCTTATTATGGGGGGCCAAATAAGTCCCCCACCCCCAACTTGTCCACGTCCTGATGCCTGGAACCTGTGAATCTGTTACTTGACATTGAGTCAGACTCAAAAGGGACTTTGCACCTGGGACTAAGGTAAGAGTTCTGAGATGGGGAGATTATCTTGGATTATCTGGGCAGATCTAATGTTACCACAAGGGTCCCTGGGAGACAGAAGTAGAGGAGGGGAGGGGATGTGAGAGCAGAAGTCAGGTCAGAGTCGGAGAGAGATTCGAAGACGCTACGCTGCTAGTTTTGAAGGTGGAGGAAGGGGCCCCAAGCCAAAGAATCTGGGCAGCCTCTAGAAGCTGGGAAAGGCAAGGAAACCGATTCTCTCCTAGAGGCTCCACAGAGCACAGCCCTGTCTACACCCTGATTTCAGTCCAGCAAAACCCATCGTGGCTTCCTGACCTCCAGAACTCTAAGGTGATACATTTCGTGCTGTTTTAAGCCACTTATTTGTGGCAACTTGTTACAGCAGCAACAGGAGACTGGTACGCTTCCTGAGCATGGACTACACACATGGCTCCTGTCTGAAGCTAGCTAGGTCTTAACTCTTTATTCTCTATCATTCTATGAGGCATTTTTTTTTTTTAAATATTTTTTTTAAAGATTTTATTTATTTATTTGACAGAGAGAGACACAGTGAGAGAGGGAACACAAGCAGGGGGAGTGGGAGAGGGAGAAGCAGGCTTCCCGCCGAGCAGGGAGCCCGATGTGGGGTTCGATCCCAGGACCCTGAGGTCATGACCTGAGCCGAAGGCAGTTGCTTAACCAACTGAGCCACCCAGGCGCCCCTATATGAGGCATTTTAGAGATGAGGAAGCTGCCGACTCGTAATTGATCTCTGCTGGTCTCTACAGAGCTGGAGTTCAGGGACTGACAGGTGCACCTGACAGAGTGCCCAGGACGGTATCATGAAAAGAATGCAGCAGGACCTCCCAAGACAGGGCTGGAAGGAGGCCCTCTCCACAGAAAGGAGGCGCTTACCCACACATGTTTATGTCACTCACACACTCTGCCTCATCCCAAGAAGCAGTGAGTCATGGGTGGAGAGGACACTTCTCACCCAGGGCATCTGCCCTCAGGGGGTAGCACCCTGGGGATGAACACTGGGGTGGAGGAAGGGCAGGGCCGGAGGAACAGCCGGCAGAGGTTCGTGTGCACAGAGGGACGTGTGAAAGAGCCCACCGCCGCCCCACGTGCCCATCTTTGTTGCCTTGGTAACATGGTTGCTGGAGCCGGTCATCAGTGAGCACTCACTTCTTACCAGCCCACGAAATTCTGCTTTCTGATGCCCCAAACTACTTCCTGGCCTACAAGAGGTCCGTTTCCTGCAGCAACTCAGCCCTCCCTCCCTGGTCCAGTGGCAAGGGCTGGCACGGCAGGGCTGGCTTGCTGTACCCTGGTGACGGCTCCCTACATTCACACTGCAGTCAGCATCCAGAGGCATGTTGCTCTGTTCAAAATCTGACTCTGCCACTCGCGGAGACTCGGTCTCCTCGTCTGTAAAATGGGGATAATTCTCAACCTCCTTCAAAGAGTTCTTGTGAGGGTTAAATGAGATAAGCTGGATATTGACCTTGGCACAACGCCTGGCACATTACGAGGGTTCAATAAATGTCAACCATTGCTATTATCATTGTCGTTTCTATCATCACAACCCATGCAACGGTGTAAATAGCACATGCCTCACAGGCCTAGAACAGTTGCTTGGAATAGTAAAACTCGGGGGGCTAAAAGTGTTCCATGCTATTATTCGCATTAGACCAAATGTTGATTATTCACAGAAATGGGCAACAGGGATTGAAATCCAGAAACAAATCTTTTGGTATCACCTTTGGCAAAAAATTTTAATCAAGTTCTAGAGCTCTCACTAGACTATTTTCTATCTAAAATCTAGCCAAAACCCACACACATACACACTTTTTCTTTTTAATCTGAGATGAAATGGGTTACTTGGCATGACCTTGGGTTGCCTTTGCTACTTCCTTTATTCCTGACTTCACTCTGGTGGTGGGCGGGCTAGAGAAGGAGACCCAAACCCCCCAAGGAGGGAGGGATGATCCATAGACGGGGTCCCCCGTCCTTTAGTAATCAGGAGGCACCCACATGTCACTAAGTTATACACTGACCTGGGTCAGGGATGATAGCAGAGGCCATAGCTCTTTGTGCCTGAACACAGAACCAGCCCCTTCTAGAAGAACGATTCAGGGATGTGTGATGTTGGGGGTGGGAAGTGGCCCCAAAACTTGATAACACATGGAGGACAGGATCCAGCAGTGTTTACTGTTTAAAGTGTGCTGCTGTGGGTACAAAAGCTGATTCCTTATTAAAAAAAAAAACGCATTTCTAGGTCACTCATTAATGAGGTCCAGAATCAAGGGGATATGCGCCCCCCACCCACCTGCACTCACGGGAGACCCTCAGACAGCCCTCCCAGTCACCTGAGATCAACTCCCTCTATTTTGATAGCCATGTTGATGCTTGACAAGTGTTCACTGTTTAGAAGTTCTAAGTACAGCAATTAAGAGCTCGTCAGAATAAAGGTGCTAAAGAAATCTCCTTTTTTTTAGAATAAAAATCACACCTAAAAAAAAAAAAAGCTATGGTAAGAATGCTGGTACTGAACCCAGCTTGTACCTAAGGCTGGAGGAAAGGAGTGGGGATAAATGTCCTCACAGCTTTCTGGAACTTCCCTGGTCTTCAACCAGGCTGCACATTAGAATCACCTGTAAAGTTTTTATAACATACTGATGTAAAGGCAGTGAAAATACTCCACGTGATACTATGATGGTGGATCCATGTCCTTACACATTTGTCAAAACCCATAATATGCACAACACTAACAGTAAACTCTAAGGTAAACCATGGACTTTGGGTGATGGTAACGTTTCAGTGTAGGTTCATCAACTGTAACGAGAATACCCTCTTGGGGAGGCTGTGTATATTTGGGGGTAAATGGGAAATCTCTGTACCTTTTGCTAATATTGCTGCGAACCTAAAACTGCTCTTAAAAATATAAAGTCTTAAAAAACAACAACAACAACAACAAAAACCTGATGTCCAGGGCCCAACTAGACCAATTAAACAGGGGACAGACTGGGAGGGGGGCCTGGGAGGTGCCATTTTATTAAGCTCTCAGGTGATTCTGATGTACAGAGAGGATTGAGAACAAGGATGCTAATTAGAAGAAAGCACCTGTGATTTCGGGTCTAGGCATTTAAAACTCATAGTGACTGCCCTAGCATTTGGCTCGAGGTGGTATTTTGGCCAGGCCATTTGGTACTGGTGCCTTTTGGTCACTCCTTGAGTGGGGACACAATTTTGAAGTTCATCATGGTGGGCTATGAATTTCAAGACAATGTGCAGATTTCAGACAGTGATTAAAGACTATTCTTACCCCTATTTTTAATAAGTCAATATACCATTTCCATGAATTACTTCTGTAAGAGAAACACACTAGAGGCAGGTATGGCTCAACATATTTGTATTCTATTTATTTTTCATGTAGACACCTAGTTAAGAAAGTCAGAATTCCTGTCCTCAAAGAAGTAGCAATGTAGGAGAGAGAAGTAATGCCACTAACCTTTGTCATCAATAATAGTGTCCATTCACTAAGCACTTAACTACGCATCAGACACTAGATACTTTACAAGTTACGTCATTGAACTCATTCGACAACCC